TCCTTCCTTCCTTCCTTCCTTCCTTCCTTCCTTCCTTCCTTCCTTCCCTAGATTCCAACAGACGAAAATGAAAGCAGGCCTTCCTGTCCTTCATTTTGGCTCCTGTGATGGTTAATTTTATGTGTCAAGCTGGCTGGGCCTAGGCATCCAGTTATGTGGTCAGACGTTATTCTGGAAGTTTCTGTGAATTGTTTTAGATGAGATTAACACTTGAATCGGTGGGCTTTGAGTAAAGTGAATTGCCCTCCATAAGGCAGGTGGGCTTCCTCCACAGGGCTGAAGGCCTGAAGACAAGAAAGGACTGACCTCCTGTGAGCAAGAAGGAATGCTGCCAGCAGAAGGCCTTTGGACTTGAACTGCAGGGTGGGTTCTTCGCCGTGTCTCCAGCCTGCCAGCCGGCCTTGCAGACATTGGACTTGCCAGCCCCCTTGCTATAGACTGAATGGTTGGGTCCCACCAAAATTACCATGTTGAAATCCTAGCCCCCAATGCGATGGGATTTGGAGGTGGGTTCTATGTCAAATAAAAGGCCATGAAGGTGGAGACCCATGAATGGAATCAGTGCCCTTGTCAAAGGGACCCCAGAGAGCTCTCCTGTTCCTTCTGCCATGTGAGGACACACTAAGAAGGCATCACCGATGAACCAGGAAGCGATCTTCACCAGACCCAAACCTGTCAGCACTTTGATCTTGGACTTCCCAGACTCCAGAGCTGTGAGAAAGAAATCTCTGCTCTTCATAAGCCATGCAGTCCATGGTATCACGTCATAGCAGGCCAAACGGACTAAGACTCCATAATCACGCGAGCCATTCCTTAAAACAAACCTCTCTCTCTGTGCACATTCTATTGGTTCTCTTTCTCTGGAGAACCCTGACTAATACATTCCCCATCTTGGTTGCTTAACACCTGGAAAGGTCTAGGGAAAGGGTGGATGGGGGTGGGGTGGGGAGGTGAGAGAACTTCAGTCTGAGAAGCAGTGGATGGAAGTGTCTGGAATGAGGGGCCAGGCCAGGGGTGATGATGAAAGGCAGGAGGAGGTGTTTGGGGCTGGATTTACTTAGGACAGTGACAGGGGTGGCTTAAAATGTCTTTGTCCCCTTCTGAGCTGTTCTTAGACAGGTGTCCCTGCTTTGCCAGGGGCTAGCTGGCATCGGGAGGGGGAAGGAAGTCTTGGCCCAATGCCCTCCTATGGGGGTTGCGGGGGCGGGGGGTGGGGAGGGGGATGAAAGGAGAATGCTTGGCTATCTTGCCCCTGTCCAGAGCATGGGTCTGAGTCCTCTCCGTGCCTATGTGTTATGTCCCTTTGGCATAAATTAATTTTTGATAGTAATCACACCTTACATTTGTAAATTGCTTTTAGGCGTTTCAAGCACCATCACCTACATGATGCGGAAAAACTCTCCTTGGGGGCACGAGGCTGAGGTGAATCATGTGGAAAAAGCATCTGGATCTCTGAGGAGGCCCCATTTCCTTGTTATGCAATGTGGCTTTGGGAGAAAGAAGGCCAGAGCTTTGGGGGCGGCTCCAAGCCCTGGATCTCATAGAAAAAAGGACCTTCCTCGGAAAAGCACCCACCACAGGGGGCCTTTATGAGGAGTCCAGCAAGAGGCTCCTCCCCCAGGGAGATGGGGCCCTGAGGCTCAAACCGCCTGAGGTCCCCACTTCTTTGGCTTTCCCCCTTGTCTGTCCCTGCTATCGGAGGCCTCATCCCTCCAGGGTAGCTCCTGGGTCCTTCCCAGCAGCAGCTCCCACGGGAGAGGTGCCCTCTTTGTTGTCTTGGGGCCTGAAATGTAGGCAGCCGTGGTGGGCAGTGAGTCACAGGAGACCCCGCCCCTGCTGGGAAGCAGCCTGTTGCTTGAGAATGTGCACCCGGGGGGCAGTCTTGGCTGCTTTGCTGCAAGGTCCTTCCGCCTTGGGGGGGTGGGAGGAGCCACAGGTGCTCTGAGGCTGCCACTTTCGCTCCAAATGGTTCACCGCGATGGCTGCCGGATGCTTTATATCTTTTCATTAATGCTCTGCTTTGCCCGGCATTTGCATCTCCAGGCCTTTTAGGGGAGCAATTTTCTAAGGCTAAGAAGCGGCCCCTTCCCCTCCCAAGCTGGGGCGGGGGGCAGTGCAGATTCCAGGGAGGGAGAGAGATCCTGAACCGTGAAACTGGATTTCTCCCTCCAGGAAATCAAGCAGGTGCAGAAGGTGTGGCCCCTGAATCTGCTTCCGGACGCTGCCCCCTGAGCTTGGGGTGGAGAGGACATTGGAGAACGTTGGCTCCCGCCCTTCCTGAAATCTACTAAGTGTTTGAACCACCACAGGAGGTAGTGTTCTTTACCACCCATCTGCCCTGTTCTGGTAAGGAAGAGAGGAGTTCCGGAGCAAAAACTCTGTCTCGGTGCTTCAGGTGGAGGCTTACGAAGCCACCTGCTGCTCTCCCTCCCGGGGAGTCACCCCTTCCCAAGCGTGAGAAGCAACAGTCCTATATGCACCTGCTCACAGGAGCTCTTCCTGTGTTCTAACACCACCTTTCTGAACTCACCTTCTGGCGTGAAGGTTCTTACAACAGCTCCTCCTCTTGGCCCCATGATGTCAGGGTCACCCTCCCGCCCACTGTGCAGATAAGGACACCGAGAAGCACAGATAAGCTCTCTGACGCGGCTTCCGTAAATCAACAAAAGGAGTGGTGGGTGCTACCTGGCATCCCGGGTGAACCCAACTCTCCCCAAGAAACCCATTATGGAGCCACCCACTTAGGTGTTTGGGGGTGGGGAACACGGGAGTTGGTTTCCCTCCCACTGGTCCTGTAGCAGCCCCTTCCCTACGTCAGACTGTGGGATCTTCACGGCAGCAGAGTCACCCGCATGCAGACACACGTGCTCACTCCGACTGGAGTGCCCAGTGCCCTGGGACGCACGCGTGGACACGCTTGCACACACGTCACCACCACCGACTCTCTGCCGTGAGAGCAGCACGCACACAGACACCTCTCAAGGGAAGGGGACCATGTGCTCGCCCAATGTCTCTCCCTGGGTGTCAGAGCCCTGGGCGTGGGGCAGAACACATCCCGCTGAGAGCTAAGCAAGAGGAGGTGGGGTTAAACGAAGCAGAAAGGGTTGAGGTGAGTGAGCGGAACTTCCTGACCCTGAGTCTTCAGGCACAGCAGGAGATGAAAATTCCCTTTGGATTTTAGAAAATAGCATAGATGCCCATCTGTGTTGGGTGGCTTAACTGAAGGCAGCTTAGAGGCCAGATGGATGGAATAGGGGCCCCTGGAGGCCCTCCTATCCCCACGTTGCCACAAATCTCCAGACATAAGCACATACACATAAACGCCTTTCTCTCCATGCCCGGGATCAACAGACACACAGCACTTCCTTACTGGTGTTATTCTCATGATCCACAGTAACAACAGCCAGTACTAACTGAGTGGGTTCTACGGGCCAGGCACTCCATTAAGAGGCTTTTACAAGCACCATCTAATTTCTTTCTTACAGTGAGGTGGGCACTGTTATTATCTCCATTTTACAGGTAAAGACACTAAGATACAGAAAGGTTAAGTGACTTGACCAAGGTCACACAGCTACAACTTAGCAGCGTCAGGACTCCAATCCGGGTGTGAGAATGAGCCACGAGGCCAAACTGCCTCTCTTCAGTCCTGGCCCCTTTGGAGCCTGGAGCTCCCCACTAGGGTCTCCCCAGGACAATATCTCATTCAACACCCAGGCGAGCCGTAACTGGATCTCAGTACAGCTGGCCCTAACTGGCATGCCCTTGTTTATGTAGGCTATGCGATCTATTCATGGAACATTCAAATAAAATGTCATCCGGCTCCCCAGCAGGCTGTCACCTCTCATATTCCTCTCTTCTTTTTCTGCATCCTCCATCACTGACCCAGATCCCTCCTGCCTTAGGTAGTCAGCAAAAACAACACGAACAGAACAGAGGGGAAGGGAAGGGCCCGGGGGGGGGGGGGGGGGAATGACGGGGGTGGCGGGAGCTTGGACCACACAGACTCAGCTTGCGTCCCCTTCACTGCCGATGGGACACCAGAGGCAGTGGGGCTGCCAGCAGGTGGCAGTCCCCTGTGTGCCTATTACTCACTGAGCAGACACGGAGGGGTGCCTGCCCCCTGCCTCCTGGCCCCCCTGGTCTGTAGGAGGTGCTTCTGACCAGTCCCAGGACAGTCCTGGGTGGGCAGCCTACTCACCCAGGTCCATGTCTGCAGCCTTGGGCCGGTGGGAGCAGGGCACATTCTTGAAGATGGCATCCAGAATCTTCTCCTTGACCTGAGTAATGGTGTCGCAGTTGAGGATCTTTACTGGGACCTCGGGGCTGTTGGCATTGTCTGGGTTGACACAGCTCAGCACCTGGGGAAGGGGGAGCAGAGGCGCATGGGGGAGGGCAGCAGGAAGAGCTGAGTCCCAGGGGCATCCTCAGACCACCACACACACCCCCACTCGCTCTCTCTCCCACGTACACGGCACTGTGTCAGCAGCACACCCAGCCCGTTGCCCTCTGAACCCTCCCCTTCCACGTGTGTGGGTCCATCCTCCCGGTCACTCCCTCTCAATGTACACGCACTCATGCGAATCTGGCTCCTTGCTCAAGAGATTTCATAAGCTTCGATTTTTGTGACGGTCTCGGGCTGACTGGAGGTTGGAGAATCTATAAGAAGCTTAATGGGCTCTTTAAAAATAAGAAGGTGCAGGTTCAAACCACTTGAGATCCCTTCCTGGCTCTGAACCCACAAACTTGTGTTAAGGGAAAGTGGTCACCCTGGCCCAGGGCCTCAAAGTCTCCTTCTGGAACTAGTCAGAAAAAGTCAGGCTCTTCTTAAAGCACCAAGCTGTATTTTTTTTTCCTTTAAAAAGTTCTGGGCTCTTTCCCAAGGCTTCTCTTTCCTTGCTGTTCTCAGAGAGGACTCTGTCTACGTGGATGGGGCTGTGCAGGATGCTGGGCGGGGGGACGCGGCCACAGTGGGGTGGGGTGGGGTGGGTGCCACGGGGCGCGGGTGGACTAGGCGGCCTGGCACGCCGGGCTCCCATACCCTCCCTCTGCCCCTGCCGCCTGAGCCCCCTATGCCCCCTCCCTGATGTTTCCCTGCACCCCTGCCACCTCGGATCTCAGATGTCACATGTCTGCAGACTCAGACGACAGCTTCCTCCCCCACCCCCTTCTGCTCCATGTGGCTGCAATCAGAACCCTGGCCCCTGGACGCCTGCCTTTTATTAGCAGCCAGACTGCTGTGAGCTCAAACAGGAACATGCTTCTTCCATTAAGAAGGAAAAAAAAACCCTCCTAAATCTATAAATCCAGATTCTCACCCTCAACGTGTCCTAAAATGAAAACAATGGTGGAAGGAATTCTGGACCATGGGTCCCTTCTGAGCCCTCTCCCAGCCCTTCGCTCTAAAGCTTTCCCGGACCCTCGATGTCCCCTGCATGGCTGGGCACAGCCTGCCACCTGGTGCTGCCCTGGCTGCCCCTGCCGTCCTGTGCTCTGGACTCAGCCTCCTCCTCCAGGAGCAACGCAGCCTTTTCTGGGTTTCCTCCCACTAGAACCTCAAGGCAGAGGCTGCCCCACCCCAGAGTATGCCCTTCTGACGTTTCTACTTGCCCCAGGGGTTCATGGTGGCCCTAGGAGAACCCCGTGGGATGCATCGGGGCATCTGGAGAAGAAGAGGAAGTACTGAGGGACAGGGCTGCCTGGCCACCGGCCAAGCCACAGCTCCACCCAGAACACCGATTCCTTATGCCCCTTGGCTAGTTTCTGAGCAAACTGACTGAGGTTTTTTCCCTGCTAACTCAGTACTTCTGGTGTTTTAATGTGAATAGGATCATTCAGGGGTTTTGTTAGAATGCAGATTCTGACTCAGGAGGTCTGGGGTGGGGCCTGCAATTCTGCACTGTGGCAGGGAAGCATCCAGTGGTCTAGCACCTAGCAAGCTCCCGAGTGAGCACCCAGCACCTAGCAGTCTCCTGGGTGATGCAATAGCCACTCCCAGCAGCAGGGCCCTAGAACACGCAAGCCCAAGCAAGTTCTAGTATCCAGCTAATTAATCACTCAATACCTCTGAGGGCACCTAACTAGAACGTGATGCAGCCCCGAGCCTCTCAGCACCTGTCTCCTTTGTGGTACCCCTCCTGCCCAGGACAAGGACAGCAGCAGTTGGCCCAAACTGCCCAGGGCTCTTCCGGCACTGCTGAATCCCACGACTTCCCCTCTTTTTATCTGACCCCTTCATCTCGGTGGCTCCGGCCCCGGGCAGCCCTGTCTGCGGCTGTCTTGTCTCGTAGGCTTGCTTCCTTTTCCTTCTCGCCAGCCAGGGGCTGTTCCCCTTCTGCCTGTTGGGAGTTCCTTTCATAGGCCTGCGGTAGCAGCCTGTCTCCCTGCAGCCCTTTCTTCCCCCGGCAAAACAATTGCAATTTCCTCCCCCTTTCCACACGGCGCCTCTTCCCCAGGTCTCTCCACTTGATGGCTGCGCTCCCCTGACCTACTCCTAGTTCCTGACATCGTCTGAAACCAGGCTGGCGTGTGAACAGTAGCCGGGGCCTCTGGAAGGAAGGATGCTGCGATCTGGGGACAGAGCATCACTGCAGCTCACGGTGCTGGATTCAGTATTGGGGAACCACGGATGGGATGGGAAAGGAAGGGGTCGGGGGAGATCAGGCAGGAGACATTTCAATGGTACTTCTAGCTCATTAAAAAATCTATTGGGGTCTCTATTTTGGGAAGGTTTCCCCCCCTGCCCCTTCTCATTTTAATCAGAGCCTCTAACTCTCTCCTCTGAAGCAGAATGTGACTCAAGGAAGCCAAGCCTTCGGTCACACGCTGCTCCTCTGAAGTTCCCCCAGTGGAGCCCATCCCAGCAGGTCTGTCAAGATGCCCACTGGGTGCCTCCCCGCCTCGCCGGCCCTCTGAAGATGGAGGGGGACAAGTGCATCATTCCCAGCCAGAAGGGACGGTCTCCCCACTGGCCATGGGGTCTGGGATTCGCCCTGGGCTCACTGCTCCTGCCCGACTCTGCCCTGTGCCGGCCCAGCCTGCATGGGTCTCATCTCCCCGTAAGTGCATTTAAATCCTTTTGTCTGTCCACAGGTCTTGAGGCCATCCATGCTTCACCTGCAGCGCTTATCTGTGATCTTACGTTCTACCTCCTTCTTTTCACACCCCTCCCCTTTCCTAGAGGAGGCTGGGTGGGAGATCATACCTCCATACACAAGAGCCCAGAGCTGTGTGAATGCCCGCCCTGCTGGGAGGGACAGTGGCAGCCTGCTGGACAGGCATGGCAGGAAAGAGTGGGCTCCCTGCCCTGTGCTGCTCACCACACCCCATCCTCTGGACAACTTGGGGAGGTATGCACGGTTGTTATCCCTGGGTAAATCAGTTCTAGTGTTATCCTCCATTTTTTTTTTCCAGATAAAGAAACCCAAACTCAGAGAGATTGAGGGATCTGCCCCAAATCAGCCAGCTGGTCAGAAGCAGAGTCAGGGCTCTAATCCAGACCTCATGCTCCTACATGCTGAGCTCGGCTGCCTCCTAGGGTGACAGCTCCTATTAGAAGAGGGGGTCTAACCTTGACAGAGGGAATCCCTACATTCCCTGGACAAGTGCCTTAATCACTAGGCTATCCCGGCCTTGTGGTCTATAGCTCGGGTCATGGGCGTATTTGCACTTAGACTGTAGGCAGAGCTGGGCTTCTGAAACATAAGGAACTCTTTCCGGTTTCCTCTCCTTTGGCCTCCACCTGCTCTGCATGGAACCTTCGCTCTCCACGCTGGGATTCCTGATGAGGAGTTTGTTCTGGGGAATCAGCTAGCCAGCTGTTGGCAAGGGCTTGGGACCCCACGTTCAGTGCACTGGCCCGGAACCACACTAGTCTTTGCTGAAGTGTGGCTGAGCTGTGCCTGAGCAACTGGCCCCCAAATCCAGCTGCCCTGGTGTGGCGGTAACTGAGGGAGTCTGGGGGTGACGGGCACAGGTGGGACGTTTGGCTGGGCCCGTGCGGCAGGTAAGGACAGATGGCTCGCCAGCACCTCAGCCGTCCCCTCTGCTGGGCAGGGGCTGTGCAGGACCAGAGCCCCCTGTCCAGGGGCACGGGCAGTGCCGTGAGGCCGGCTTACCAGGGTTTTGTAGTCGATCTGTTGGCGGATAAGCTTGTCCTCACTCAGGGAGTAGCGGGCCTCTCCTGTGATGGCATCGATGGGCCCCTTCTCCATCTGCTGCTTGATGGCACAGAACAGCGAGAAGAGGGGCTCCCCGGCGCACTCCTGGACACAGAGAAGAGCCGTGCTGGGCGGACGCCGGACCAGCCCCCCGGAGCCCGTTTCTCTGGACAGGGCCGCTCTCCACTCCTCTGTCTCGTTTCTCTCCTGCTCCCCGTCCTCCTCTCTGGTGCCAACTCCCCCTTCAGATGGGCGTTTCTCTCAGCTCTCTCGACCACCTGTCTTCTCCTGTCCGCCCCCTCCTCTTCACCTCCCCTGCCTCCTGTCCCTTCTCTGTTCCTCCTCCCCACCCCACCCCACCCCTGCCCATCATGAGACAGCGGTCAGTCCCTGGTGGTGCCAAAGCCTTAGAAAACAGGTAATGATGGGAGGGGAACGGATTTTCTATCTCCCAGCCACACGGGCAGCGTGCCTTGCAAGGTACCAGCCTGGAACCCTTATGGGCCTGGGGCTGGGGGAGGTAGGACGGGAGGAAGAGGGAAAGCAAGGAAATAAGGGGTGAAATGTTTTGGGCTCACAAGGGGAACTTGGCTTTAGGGCTCACGCAGGATGCTCTCATTGCTCTGGAGAAAGCAGCCTGGGGGACAGGGGATGGTACCGCTCATGCAAGGGCTGACAGAGGCTCTGTCTCCTGAGATGGTCAGGAGTCTGCCGCCTCGGGGCCAGTGACAGTGCTGAGGGGGACCGCATTTCTCGGTGGGGTTCTACGAGCCAGGCCGTGGGTAATGTGGGCTTGGGGGCATGCAGACTCTGGTAGGGGGGTACCCCCAGAGATACCCCCACATCCAATCATACCTTGAGGAACTTGTAGAGCAGAAAAGTGAACCAATTGGTCAACATCTTCTCAGCCACCGACTCAGTCCTGTCACCAGTCACCAAGGGAACCGATGGAGCGAGACAAAGACAGAAGCAGCTGGTCAGACCCCCAAGGACTGGGAAGGCAAGGGAACAACTCCACACTGATTCTGCTGCTTGCGGCTTTTGGGCCCCATCTTGAGGTGCTAAAGAACGTTTGGATTCCACAGCCTCCTAGACACCCCGTAATGATAGGACAAGCTTTGCCCGCGAAGCCAGGAGATGACATTCTGGTGCCAGGCTCCCTGGTGCATGTTTGGAGGGAACGCGCTAGACCAGCTGTCCGTCGGCACTTTCCGCGAGGAGGAAAACACTGTCCTGTCCGGCGTGGTAGCCCCCTGCCTGCCACACGTGTCCACTCAGCACTCGAAATGCAGCTAGTGCATCTGAAGAGCCGACTTTTACATTTTCTTGACCTGTGGTCAATTTACATTTGAATGGTCACGTGTAGCTTGTAGCTGCAACCTCAGACAGTGCAAGCGTAGAGGACTTTATAATTTCCTATGGGTGGGGAAGAGAAGAATAAGAAACCCGGGGAGATACTAATTTGGCAGGGGATAGAAGGAAGGCAGCGGGAGAAGCGGGTCGTGGGACAAAAACCAGATGGATTACACTGACCCCATCCCCTAAAGCTAAAGACTCCTAGAGCTAATACCTAGCTCATCCCAAGAGATGCCAAAATTGTCCTGTTTCAGATTACTTTGGAACTTCCCCCGGAACCTCGCTAGTGTTTCATTTGCAACGGCAGGAAGTGCCTTCTTGAGTCTAGCTCGCACCCTTTGTGCTGCTACCCAAGTCCCTTTCTTTTACTTTGGAAGGGGAGGACACTGCGGCCTTGTCATGGCCCCAAGACACTTCTGGTTGCACCCGTTTGGAGGAAACAAACTCCGTTCGAACTTGCGCTAAGCTTGTGGCCTCCTCCACGGAGACACGGGCCCGTTCGGGTATGTGTGGCTAGGCTTTGAAAGTTGCACTTGGCAGAAGATATGGATAAGTACGATCCTGAGGCAGCTGCCAGCACACAAATGAAAGTAAGAAGAGAAGAGCAAGACTGCTGAAATGAGGGGCCCAGCCAAGGGCAAGGAAAAGAAAGGGAGACGGAGGAGGGCAGGAGGAGAGAGGGCATCTGGTGGGGGAGCGAGTGGAAAACAAGAGGTGGAGACGCACGGATACAGAGCGAGGCCACGCGGGGAAATTGTCGGTGGGAGCTCTGGCAGGCAGTGGCAACCCTAGAATTATGCCGGTGGGTGGCTGCGTGGTGGAAGTAAAACACAAATCAAAATGATCTACCTTGCTGTTTCCAAAGCTGTCTGATTGCTCCGAACTGTAGCAACCTTTTGCAGCTGTGCAGGCGAATGCCCACGGCACCAGGAAAAAAGCCTGAAGGAGACACTTCTGGAAGCCAAATGTAGCCACTGGACCAAGCAGGGGGCCCTGCCTCAGACCCAGACACCCAGGACGGAGGCAGAGGACAGGCAGAGGCAGACGGCCCCTGGGGCGGTCCAGGCAGAGGGCTGGATGCAAAGGCCTGATGCGGGAGTTTTCCAGCTTTGTCCACAGAAAGGCTAAAGACACCGCGCTAACAGCCTAGGGGGGAAATGGCCTTCCAGCAGGAGGAACACGTGAAAGGCGGCATGGATGGAGTCAGAGAACCTCTATTTGCCATAAAGCCGAAGCCACAGGATATGGCTTCTGCGGTCACATGTGACCATTCAGGTCTCCACAGTGTCAAGGATGAGGCGTCCAGCAGTGTGCCGTGGTGCACCTGGACCCGTGCAGAGTCCCCAGCCGGTGCCAGGAAACACCTGGTGCATTGCATCAGGCAAGGGGCCACTGAAGGGCTTTCATTCGAACACAGGCCAGACCGGTGCTTCTCGGGTTTCGCTGTGCCTTCAGATCACCTAGGGTTCGCGTTAGAATACAGATTTTGATCCAGGAGGCTGTGGGCTGGGCCCTGAGATTCTGTGTTACTGAGAAGCTCCCAGTGGCTTCGCTGCTGTGGTGCTCACAGCAGTGAGAGGGGCCAGGGCCAAAGTTTCCAATCTTTTTTAACGTCTACTTATTTATTTTGAGAGAGACAGAGAGAGAGAGAGAGAGAGAGAGAGAGCGAGAGAGCAGGGGAGACACAGAGAGAGGAGAGAAAATCCCAAGCAGGCTCCGCACTGCTCTCGCTGAGCCCGACGCAGGGCTCCAACTCATGAGCCATGAGCTCATGACCTGAACCAAAATCAAGAGTCGGACACTTGGCCGACTGAGCCACCCAGGCGCCCCTAAAGTTTCCAGTCTTAAGATGGTGAGGATGGTCCCCAGAGAGGCCCTGGGGTATCTCTCCTAACTCATGTTCTGATTTAGATAAGGCCGGGGGCTGGGCGAGTGACCTCTGAAGATTCCACGAGAGAAGAACTCCGGTAGAAAGGGCTGTAACCAGGGAAGGGTAAGGGTGGAGAGAGAAGAAGGCAGAGCGGAATTAGAGGGTGAAAGAGAAGCAGCAGGGCAAGTGGACGGGCCGGGGTGGACGGGTTCTTCCAAAAGGACATGGGGTGCGCCCTGGTCTCTGGGCAGGTTGGTTCCTAAGCTTGGCGGGACTTGGCTGCTCCTCCTGGGAGCTCTGTCCCGTCTCCCCAGAAGGCACGAGATCCAGGCCAAGCGGGCTGGGCTGGGCAGGGGCCCTCTCCGACCTCCGCCCCCTGCCGCCCGCCCGGCCCGGCCCTCACCTCCTGAGCAGCAGCTTGGGGTGGTTCTTGCTCTCCAGGTTCTTGTCGATGAGGTCGGCCAGCAGCTGCTTCAGCACGTCGGTCGCATACTCCAGCTTGCTCTGCAGCACCGTCATGATGAGCGAGGCCACGTTGCCGCGGTCGCGCATGGAAAAGCTTCGCTGGGACTCCAGGGTGCGGATGAAGGACAGCAGGAACACCTTGTTGTTGATGAGCTGGGCAAAGAGCTTCAGGCCCTTCTCCACGCGCTCCTGCCGGTAGCCCGGGACCTGCGGAGGAGCCCCCGGGGGAGTCCTGACTGCCGACCGCCAACGTGACCGCCAACGTGAGGCGGAGGCCAGCCAGGCCCAGGGGCCTCCCCACGGGGTGGGTGCCGCACGCTGTGGACCCTGCCCTCATCTGGCCCCGGGCACCGTGCCAGCTATTTCCTTAACCCACGTGCGGCTCACTGCCTCTTGTTTGGAGGTGAATCAGTGAGGCACAGAGAGAAGGCACCCTGAGTGATAATGGCCATGCTGGGATCTGAGTCCGCTGCTGAGCGCGAGCTCGTCCCTGACAGCAGCACAGGGCGGGTGGGGGGCCCTGCGCCAGGGCGCATGAGCATTACGGACAGCCCCCGGGGGCCTCCCGGAGGGGTCGTCACACCTGAGCCTCCACCTGTCCTCATGCTGACCCTTCTCTGGCCACGAGGATCCCGTTGACAGACCAGTGGCCTCAGAGTCAGGACTTCCAGGGTCCACACAGGCTCTGACTCCGCCACCCCGTGGGACCTCTGGCAGGTCCCGCAACTTCTCTGGGGCCCCAAGGTGATTCGCCTAAAGAAAGAAGATTAAGCCCCACAGACCCTAGCATCTGATGTTTTCTCGGAGACTCCTCTGAGACCCTGCCGCACCCAGGGAAACAGGAGGAAGACGGGGAAGGAGGTTTCATCTTCCAGCCTGCGTCCTCTGTCCACCGGCAGAGGCCGGCAGGGGGGGCAGGGTCTACCCAGCTCACACCAGCCAGCCACTGGGCGAGGAGGCATGGAGAACTGGAGAACGCATCTCTGAGATGCACCAGGCGGGCCCCACAGCTCTGCATGTCAGGGCCCCAGACTGGAATCAGCCGGGTGCCCGGCAACAGCGAGCGGCTCCAGGAAGTGCAGATATTCGCCCAGCGGGAAGCCACACGGCCACACGGCCACGGCAGTGAAGGGCTTTCTACCACTCACGGTAGCACGGATGCATCTTGCAGACAATGGAATGAAAAAAAGTCAGGAAGAAGAGGGCATACCGTGTAGTACCATTTACATAAAGATTCATTAAAAAACAACGGTGGCAGGAAAATGGTTATTCTCGGGGGTGGCGGTGACTGGAAGGGGGCACTCAGGGACGTTTGTGGCGGGCCGGTAGGGTTCAGCTTCCTGATCTGCGTGCTGGCCTGCTGGCTGTGTTCACTCAGGGAAAATGCACTGGGCTGTGTCCCGACAACGTGTGCCTTGCTCTGTAGGTGTTCTTTCATTATAGCAAGAAGGTTGCTTAACAAATAAAGCGCAGCCTCTGCCCTCAAGGTGAAGCCCTCGGAGAACAGAGCAGGGCACCCGTGTCGTGGAGTGGGGTGCGGGAGGAGCAGGGACATTCAAACAAGGTGCCGTGTGGAGGGTTGTGCCCCCTCTCCCCCCCCCCCCCCCCCCCGCGGGGGTCTTGGAGAAGGAGCGTCTTGTGGGCAGCAGTGAAGCCAGCAGTTTCGGGGAGGGTCAAGCTTGGGTTCACTGTCACAGCCATAGACTAGTCGGGGACCCTGAGAAGGCTCCATTCCTCCAACAGCGAAACGGAGGTACTCCAGCTAATGCGTCTGTAGTCCGTACTTTGCTGAGCACGGCTCTACATGCTTGAGAAATGTTGACCCATTTATTCCACATGACCCCCTATGAGCTGGGTACCGTTAATATCCCAGGGCCTCGTGACAGTGAGGAACTTTCCCGGGATCCCAAGACACAGGAGTATCAGAGCCGGGACGGCACCCAGGCAGCCAGCACTGCATCCTGCCATCTCGGGGGGCTGGCGTGAGCCCTGAAGAAGAAGGTGCGTGAAAACCTTGGCAATGCAGGGCCTGACACACAGTCACCTTTCCCGAATGGTAGCAACTTCATCCCACTCTAGTCCAGAAGTTTTAAACTGGGGAAGATTCAGGCAGCAGAGAAACCCTGTGTGCCCAAGGTCCAAGGAGGTGGCAGGCACAGAGCTGGAATGTTCACGCCGCTCACTGCCTGAGCTCCCCTGTGTCCCAGGCTCGAGACGAGGCCCTGGAGGAGGCAGAGACGGGGCAGGCCCCTGCCTGTCCTTGGATGGTCAGCAGGAGGCCCCTCCAGAAGGCCATGTGGGAAGGCGGTACTCAGGAGAGAGATGGGAACTCGCCAGAGCCGGGGCCCCGCTTGTCCCAGCTCTTGGCCCAGCTGCCCTTGGCAAACTCCTCATTCCCCAAGGTGGGCCCGATCTCGGCTGGCATCCTGCCCGGATCCCTGGTTCCCCTCTCCACAGGGGCTGACAAGGGAAAAAGACAAGGGTATGAGACAGCCTCACCTTGCCGTCAGCCTGGCCTCAATCTACCCAGCCGTCTGTGTCCCGCCGACCTCCCTCCTTGCCCTGTGACGGCCTCCAACACATGAGTGCATGTTTTACCTCCTCTGTCCTTCAATCCCCACCCACCGCTCCCCTGTCCCGCCCCGCCGAAGCAATATGCCCACAACTCGTTCTACTGCTGATAGATAGTGCCACTTTCGAGGCACCCAGCACGTGCAATGCATGGTGCTGGCACACTGCGATCATGGCTCCATCTAAGCCTTTAAGGACCTTGCAAGGGTGAGGGTGTCCTCTTAACCGCCTCTCAGAGAAGGTACCGCAGGCTTCCTAAGGCCAGCCAGCTGGTGCGGGATGGTGCTGGACTTCCAAACCCAAGCTTGTTTGGCTCCCGAGTCCCCATCCATCTGCCCGTCCTTCACCACACCTAGTCCTCCCCCTGGGCCTAGGAGGTGACCGAGAGACAGCCCTGAGTCTCCCCTGCAGCCTCCCACGCAGGGCCTCCTGGCAACTCAGGTTGGCCATCGAGGGCAGGGGAGCCACGTCCGGGTCTGGCACCAGGAGGAAGAGGGCACAGGGCTGGCCAGAGGGCAGGTCTGGGGAGAGGGCATGCTCTGGACTTCTTGCCTTGGCTGCACACGCCTCCGGGGCACCAAGGACTGAGGCCCTTGGGGAGGAAGGGTTAGCAAAGCCAGCTGTGGGGTGAACCCCGTCAGCAGCATGGGTTTTGGAATCAGAAAGACTCACTGACTCACACATGGAGGAAAGCCCTGTCACCTCTGGGCTCTATTGCCTCGTCTGTAAAATGAGAATATGAGTGCCCATGTCATAATGTTTTATGAGCATTAAATAAGATAATGTATGTAAAGTGCTTGGCACACACAGTGTGCACTTAACGGCAGTTTTATTACCTGCCTCTCCTCTTCCACTGGCTGCTTTTCACCCATCCCTCTTGCCCAGGAGTTTCTAAGACATCGAATACATCAGCCCAGTGTCTGGGGGGTGGAGAAGGTAGGAATTTTCTCCCCACTTGATGAAGGGGGCGATAGAGGTGAAGTGTCTCGGTGAAGAAGAGTATTCAGCACAATTCCCCTTTGTAACTTGCCACCTCCCCCCAACCAGCTCCCTAAGCAAATGTCACTCTGAAACAAGACTTTCTTTATTCACCAGATGGTTCGACAGTTTAGTTGAAGCTTGTGAGTTAAAAACCGGAGAGTAAATTTTAATTGTAACCCAACAGGTTAGAGTTTAGGAGACAAGGATAGGTTGAAAATGGGGTGTGTGGTTACTGTTTGTTGTCTTTAAAGGATTGGTGTGTCCCCAGTGCCTGGGCAGCCCCCTAACCACATGCCATCCCTTCACCCAGGGCTAAGTCCAGGACAGATAGAGCCGGAGGATAACTCCTCCTTCACACACATCTACCGCTCATGCCCAATCAGTGGGCACCGATTCCAGTGGCTGGAAAGGTCAGGAAACATCGCTTTAGATTATCAGTGGCTTCCCTGGGAATATTTCCATACTAGGAAAGCCAACAGGGAGAAACTATTTCGGTGGCAAGGCGGGGCTGGAAGCAAATCAGAATAATCCGGGCAGGATCCCAGGGTCTTGCCTAGGATGCCGGATCTCATATGGCCCCAGGCTAATGTGGGATGGTAAAAGTTGACTTCTGTCAATTAATTAGTGAGTTTAACAGAAATGAAGAGTCGTATGTTCTGAGCACATACCCAAAAGACCAGGGGCGGGAGCTCCAGCAGGTACTTGTATACCCACGTTCTTAGCTGCATTATTCACAACAGACAAAAGGTGGAAGTGACCCTTGTGTCTACTGACAGATGGACGGATAAACAAAATGTGGTCTACACACACAACGGACTATTGTTCAGCCTTAAAAAGAAAAGAAATTCTACCACATGCTACAATATGGATGAACCTTGAAAACATTCCGCTAAATGAAATAAACCGGTCCCCAAAGGACAAATCCTGTGTGTTTCCACTTACACGAGGGACGCTGAGCAGTCAAGTTCATAGAGACAGAAAATCGAATGGGGGTTTCTGAGGGAGGGCAAATGGGAAGTTAGTGTTTAGTGGGGAAAATGAAAACATCCTGGAGATGGATGGTGGGGATGGCTGGACCACAGTGGGAACGTACTTAATGGCCCCGAACATGTAAAAAATGGTTGAAATAGCAAACTTCATGTTATGCTTATTTTACCACCACTCAAACAAAGAAGAGCCACGTGCCCTGTGTGAAGCAGAGTGTACGTGACAGTGAGCTGTCCTGTGTGGGCTCCCACTCAGGAAGTTGGTGCAGGTGGCTGTAACTCCTTCGTGAGCAGGAGGGTGGGAGCTGCGAGTCTGTCCTCATGATAAAGGCAAAGAAGAGAGAAGACTCAGGTTGGAGGGGAAACTTGAATGTGCCAGATGAGGAATAAGGCCGTGGTAGGGTGTGATGTGATTTATACTGGGGCCGTCGGAACCGCCCCGGGGGGGGGCAGGGTATCTACCCAGAGAGCATCTCAGGTGGTTACAGCCCGGCAGGGCAGCTAGGGACTCCAACAACTTTCAGCGAGAGGCTTGGTACAGTTAGGAAGGGCAATGAGAGGGAATCATTTGTATTCTGGTCCTGGTACACAGGGCTGCTGTAGACAGTGAAGCAGGTTGTGCACTGAACAACCCCAAAGGTGCTGCATATGAATGATGCCATCTGGAGCACTGCAGTGTTCAACCTGCACAACTGCCCATGCGTTCCTGTAGGAGAAGGAGCCCTATAACTCTCCTGCCACCACCTCGGGCAGTCCTTGGGAACGTACTGCCCTAGTCTGTATGTTAAACTCGTGCCAAGCCAGGCTTGAGAGTCTGAGAATCCCTGGAGATGCAAATGCATGTGGAAAGTGCGTACTCTTCCATGGACTAACACCCTAGTCGTTTGAAGCAGGTGAAAAATGAGGCTGGAAAAAGTATAAATGTAAGAGAAAAGTGAATGAGAATGAGAGAGGGGCATAGGCGTGAAGAGTGAGACCAAGGCAGAGGACAGATATCGTATGATTTCACTCATATGCAGAATTTAAGAAACACAATAGATGAACATAAGGGAAGGGAAGCAAAAATAAGATAAACACAGAGAGGGAGACAAACAATAAGAAATACAGAGAACACACTGAGGGCGGCTGGTGGGGTGTTGGGTGGGGGGAGGGCTCAATGGCGATGGGCATTAAGGAGGGCGCTTGTTGGGATGAGCACTGAGTGTTGTATATAAGTAATGAATCACTAAATTCTATTCCTGAAATCATCATTACACTACATGTTAACTAACTTGGATTAAAAAAAAAAAAAGAATCAGATGCTCAACCAACTAAGCCACCCAGGCGCCCCCAAATGATATTTTTAAACAATTATTTGTTAACTTACCAGAGCCATATGTCAACTATAATACTTTATTTTGCTAGATCTAAGACCTACATCCTTTTAAAATGTCAACTCATAGGCATGGTGCTTTAATTTCATAAACAATTGTGGATTTTATATGTCTTAGGCTATAGAGTGACTTCTTTCATTCACCAAATTGGTGCCACCTGGTGTTCTGGTATTAACGTCTATAAAATAAACACGGTTATTGCTCGAATGCAGCCTGTGTGGGGGGAGGGGGTTACAGAGATATGAACTGTAAACAAGTAAACACATTAATAAACAAGATAATATTCATTTAGAAAGAAGGGTGAGACCAAGAAAAGGAAGAGCGTATCATGATATAGCCGATGTTTTCATTTGTTTATACGACACACCTGTATACCTTATACGTGTCCACACAAGAGCAGACGTGCACACGGAGCAGAGGTGCGTTATCAGTGAGGACACAGAGCCTACCACCTACGGCCTTTGGAAGTGCCTCTTGGTATCTATCCACTGAGGAGCCGAGCGGACCCTCCTCCAGACAGAAGTGACTGTGCCCTCATTATAGCAGTGTGCACACGTGCACACACACACACACACACTGGCACACAATTTATTCAACAATTATGGAGAAATGCATATGGGCCCCAAAGTCCCTGGGGACTTGCTGTGTTTTCTGTAGAGACGCACAGCGTCTCCACCCCCTCGAACAACCGTGTAGATGTTCCCGCAGGGGTTGGTACCTGCAAACCCGTGCAACCCCCGAGCGAGGCGTCTGTTGTTATGTTATGCACGACATAAGTCTTGGAATTAGCCTTAATCTCTACTGTTGCTTTGCCTGGAGAGTTTTGATCCGTCCTAATAAGTATCCAGAGCCCGAAGGCACGACAGTGATGTGCAAAGACTCATCATTGGGAGCACAGACCCTGAAGTCTAACTGTAGGACTCAAATCCTGGTGCCACCCCCTCCCAGCTGCGTGGCCCCGGAGTTCTCTGTGCCTTTAGTTTTGCTGCCTCTCAAAGAAGCGCGACTTCTTCCGACTGCTTGTGAGATAGTAAATCCGCACACACGTATGAAGTACTTACAACTGGACCGGGAACTTAGTCGGCAGCCTGCTAACAGCGATTATGCCTTATGATTATTATTTTGCCCTGGTTTCCTCATTTATATTTTTCACTTTTCTCTGGTATTTATCTTGATAAGTCATCCGAAATCCCTTTCGGAACAAAGCACAGTATGAATATATGCATAAGCCAGATACTATGCTAGACAGGAAGAGATAAAATGTTCAAAAGATGAGGTCCTGCTGGTACAAAAGACAGTTATATTCTTATCATTCACGCTTCCACCCCCCCTTCCCAGCACATTACTTCTTTTTTCCACATGTATTTATTGAGCACCAACTATGTGGTGAAATCCCTTACATCATGGGAGTTTCCTAAACAGGAGTCCGTGAGCTCGTTACATTAGCTGCCAGATGTGTTGTTTTTGTGTATATGTACAGTTTTTCTTCAACTTCCATTCAATTCTCAAGGGCTCCATGACCCCTAGAACCCAAATCTACTCCCATCTCTGCTCAGATGGCTCCCTGGCTCGGCCCCATTTCCTCCTGAGGGACGGGCTGGCTGCCGTTGACAAGCGGGGGGTAGGGGGAAGCCTTGGGCAAGTCACATCCCCTCCCTGGCCTCAGCTTTCTCACCTCCCGATGAGGTGGCTGCATTTGCAGGTCACCGACACCTTTCTCTGCACTAGCACCTTGATGGGGAAGGCTTGGTTACGGGTCCTACTTCTCACCTCGAGGTCTCGGAGCACAGGATGGTCTTCAATCCCTGGGAACAGCACCCGCATGGTGTACGTTCTGTAATCCAGGAAGGGGATCCCAGCTCCGTCCAGGTCACTGGTCAGCTCATGGATGTCCGTCTGCAGCTCGGCAAAAGCTGGTACAAAGGGAAGCCCGTGAGACTGCTGGCTGGGGTGGGCCTCGAGTCTGAGGCTCAGAACCCTCACCCAGGCCTTTAGGAGACACGGGCAATAGGCTGCAGGTGTGCAGGAATAACGTGGGATGTTTTAAGTAGCTGGGGTGAATGATATAGGAAGGAGAGATAGAATGTGTCACAAGGAGGCTTGTCCTGGGCCAAATCCCTTCCAAAGCATGGGTGGGGGTGGCTGTCCACAGATTTGTCCTGCTGCTGGGGCCTGAATGGTTTTGGTTTACAGAATATGCGGGGGGGTAGGGGGCCCCCCCCCGCCGGGGGGGGGGCGGGGAGAGGTTCCAGTGGTGGAGGGTCTATTCCTAATTCTGCGTTTTATAGTGGGCTTTCTTATAAAAGTGAAAAACAATTTCTTCTGCAGTCCTAGTTCTGGGCCACGCAGCTCACTGGAGCCTTCACACCACAAACCACCCAATGGGGCCAAGACGAAGGCTCTGCCACATTACTGTATTCCTTCTGGATAGATATGCAGGGTGTATCTTTGTCTTTCCTTCCTCAAGGTGATGCCACTCCATGGTGAATTATGGTCTGCATGTGGGCACTGCTGTCTGTGGAGGCAGCTCAGGCCTCCAGATGGTCATGGAGCTGCAAGATGCCCTTCCTTCCTGCCCCCAAGGAAGTCTAGCACACGGCCCAGGTGGTCACACAGCGCCAAAGCTGCGGCCACACTCTGTCCTGAGCACAGCCCTCCTCCCAGGCCACCCTCTGCCCCGGGATGGCCGTCAGAAATGTCCCCCTGCTCCGTCTTCCTCCAGGGCACACGCACACGTACTTGCGTGCATGCATGCGTGAGACACACGCACGTTCACACACAACCAGCATGGATTAACACAGCCAGTGGGCACTGATGAAACGATACTTCTTACGATTTCCATAAACACAAGAATGGGAAAACAGTATTCTGTGGGCTCTACTGATCACACGACACAAACACAACACGGCTGCCCCAGGCACTGTGGACGGGGGCCCCACTGCACCCCACAGTGCCAACTTGGGCCCACGGACCTTGGGTCTCCAGGCCTCGAGGCTTCTCATTTGCTTCTCATTTGACAGAATCGTGAGGACCCCACCCGGGCCCCTGGAGAGGCTGCTCCAGACCTCCCCTGCACTGCTCTCCGTCCGCACCCCTGGTCACACTGACACGGGGGGGGGGGGGGGCCCTGCCAAGGCGAACGACTCCGAAAGCAGAGCAACCATAACGCCTCCAAGTAGAACTCACACCAGTGTGTGTGCACACGTGTGCAGGAGGAGGACTCGGTAAGACGTCTGGCACGTGCTGTCACCGAAAGCACTGGTGAACATTCATGTATGTCCTGAGTGAGGCACGCGTGTGTGTTTGTGGGAATGTGTGCAATGTGTGCGTGGGCATTAGTGAGTGTCTGTGTGTGAGTGCGTGAGTGACCGTCTGGGTGTGTGTGTGTGTCAGTGAGTTGCTGTGGCCGTGTAAGCACGTGTGTGTGTGTTTATGTCTCAAGAGGCCAGGCCAGCGCAGGGCCTGGGTTTGCATGTGGGTGACGTCCCGGCTTACTCTCAAGTCTTTGGGGAGTCACCTTCCCTGAACCCAAGCTGCCCCTTACATGTTCCAGAGCCAGCTCTGGGCACCCCCGACGAATACTTCCATGGCGAATCTCCGTGTACTTTGCTCTACACCTCTCTCGTCTCACTCACGCAGGAGAGCTCTCTCCCGAGCCAGAAGCCAAGGCCCTCTCCTGGCACCTCCGCTGACCCTCTTCGGCTGGACTCCCTGACTGCTAATTCCTCCTTCTCCAGAACTTTCTGAGAGGAACCTGGCTTCACATTCCCCTCTCTGCCCGCTCCCTGTTGGGGGTGCTCAGCTGGCGGAGAGGAGAGGGAGGGGGGTGGTTTTTTAATCTGTCTGTAGCTTTCCTTCAAGTCACTAAGCGCCTCCAACATTCAAAGCCTCGTGCCTGCCACACATAAAAGAGATTCTAATCACTACACCTAATTAGAGGGAAGAGTACATTGCGGAGAAAAAAATTAAGCAGCGTAAATATAATAAAAGGCAGTAATTAACAGTCCCACAAGGCAGATGCCAGTGTTGACAGCTAAGGATGTACTGAGGGGACGGGATGGACCCACTTCCCCATCAGAGGGAGCTGCGGCTTCCCTAGTAGGGATGGGAGAGCCCCAGGTACAGGCCGGATTGGCTCGGAGAATAAATCCACGGCAAAGAATCCACTCAGACCCTCCCAGGGTGACTCACGAAATGATATCATGATATCTGGCAGGCGACAAGAGTCTGACTCCTAAATTTCCTTCTTGGATTTAGCGCAGCTCATTTCACATCATGGCGGTGTTGGTAATTTTTAAACATACAGGCTGGGAAACCCTCTTCCTTCTACATCTCAAATCAGCCCTACAGCCGTACCTTCCCCCTCAAGGAAGGGAGCTGCAGGTTGCTGAATGTGTCATGTCAAGACACCCCAAGGTGTCCCCAACAGGAGAGCATAAAACCCCAGCGGCCAGGATTCTGAGCTGGAAACTGCTCTCACGGAGCTTAGGATGATCCCAGCCTGACCTGGGGAAAGAGGGGAAGGGGGCATCTGGAGGGAGGGGAGGGCGGCCTCGCCCGGGAAGGGGTGGGTCTGCTGGGATAAGGGATCTGTCTGGATACAGGCTCGGAGAGCAGAGTTAGACACCCGGCCCCCAGTGCGGCCTGCAGGTGCCCAGCCCCCTGCCCTGTGTGAGGCGCACGCGCACAGACTTGGGGCGGGGGGCGGGGGGATGGTCCCCGGTCCTCCAGTACCTTCTTTGCACTCCAGGGCCACACGCGACTCCAGGTTGTCCATTTGCATCTGCAGCCGCTTCAGCGTGAGGTCACTTTCGCGGGACTTGCGTTTGTAGGCGATGAGGACGGCTACGATGAAGATGACCAGGAGGCCGCCTGCCACGGCGATGCTGACGATGGCGGGCAGGCTGAGCGGGCTGTCCGGGGCCACATACACCATCCCCGGGGAGTACTCCATGCCACCGACTCGGGCCTGGGGGCACAGCACGCGAGAGGAAGCTGGGAGCGGGCACGGAGCACCCCGGGGAAGCAGCCCCGGGGCAGGATGAAGGAAAGGGCTCGAGGGAGGAAAACCGCCGTGGGTTGGAACAGAGGAGAGGGTGTGTGGGGGCCTGGGGATGGGTCCGGATGGCTCAGAGCAGGCCACCCCCGCAGACGGGAAGCTGCAAATTCCCTCAGCCGGGACTAATGTCGTCCGTCTTCCTAAGGAAACAGCCCACGACTGGGACCTAAAGAAGTCTGACACGTCTTCAATGACCGCTCCCTGAGATTCATCCCATCATAAGGATTGGAAGACTGAGGCAGAGCATATTATGGCCCTCCTGGGGCCAACAACGGTGCTCTCCTGGAAGGGTCTCTAGCCTGTAACAGGCCATGCAGCACATCCCTAGAGCTGTTTTGCATGGCCTTTATTGTAGCACCAGCGTCAGGAAAGAATGACAATGCACAAGAAGGAGGTGGGAAGCATGACAGAGAGAAGGAACAAGGGGTGATGGGTGGCCACGAAGGAAGTTCTGAGCGGGCCAGAATCGCCTCCCGGAAAGCCCTGGCAGCCCAGCATGGAGCCAGTCCGCTCACACTCTCGCATCCCTAAGTGCCCGCCCCATCCAGATCGGGGCCCCGTCGGCCTCACCATCACTTTGTGCCTGCCGATGAGGTTGGGGGACTCGCAGAGCAGCTGCACATCCGACACCGTCACCGTGCACGGCTTCTCCCCAACCAGCACCGTGTAGTTCAGCTTCACATTACCCCCAGCCACCGGTGGGATCAGGTTCTTGCCCTGGAGGGACAGGAGAGCCTCGGTTCCCGCCCCAGAGTCAGCATCATAGCTCCTGGCTGGCTGCCACGTCTCCCACCCAGAGGTCCCATCCTGCTGGCGAGCTGGTGGAGAGGCCACCTTCCACAACAAGTCCAAAAGCTTTGTGGCACATACACTGCCATTCCCCTTTCCTCGGTGGGGAGTCAGTGATCGGGGCACTCTTTTGAGCTCATCCGAGTGCAGCCTCAGAATCCCTCTCAACACAGAGCTACAGTCAATCGGTACCAATTGATTGAAATTGTCACAGGAGTTAAAATTAATTTGCTACCCATGCTCCAAAGAAACCCTATGCTGTGGTTTGCAAAGGGCTACACGGGAGGAAGCAGTGTGCGCCTTTGACCTCCCAGGTCCTGGACTCGGGGGACACAGGAAGCCTGGGAGGCAGATGGCCAGGATGGGTCCAGCTGCCCCGATCAGGTCTCTACGGCCTGTAAAGAGAGTTCGCCTCCCAATACAAACTCGGAGGCAGTGTTTTCCACGCTCTGGACTATGACACAACCTCTGCTAGGGACGGCGGTCATGAAATTGGGCCAGAGCCCATGACTTCTGGCCTTTCTCTGGCACTTGAAAAGCATCCCCATTCCATGCAGCAGCCTCCCGGCTTCCCACCCCCCGCCCACCACCTCACTCTACCTTCAGGATGATGGGAGTGCCAGGCTTGAGCTCCAGGACTCCTGAGGGCCCGAAGGCCTCAAACACGGGGTTGGGATAGTAGGTGAAGTTGGTCTTGTTGAGGATTAGCAGGGACTGGACGTTGTCCAGGATGAAGCCAAACTCCTCAGGCCTCTCGGTCAGGTCAGACTGGTGGTCGGGCCCCAGAGCGAGGGCCGGAGCCTGGCAGGTCATCTCAGTGGCGTTCAGGACCTCACAGAGCTGGAGGAGCCAGAAAGGGGGACTTATGCAGCGCCTGAACCCATAGAGCCCCAACACACCCACCAGGGTCCCCCCAGTGCCATCAAACAGCATGGCGCTGACCTGGGCTGCCACCCCTCCGCAGCCACGACCACACAACCTGGGCACTCAAGCAGTAGACTCTGCAGTGACATCTAGATCTGCTTTGTCCACAGCGGGTGTGGCAGTGACTAGGGGATCTCTAAGCTAAGGGGCAGCACCGGAGGTCTGAAAGGTGGAGGAATGAGGATATGAAACCCCAGAACCCCCAGAAGTGACTGCTCTTCCGTGCCTGTACCCCAAGGTATGAAAATGCCCTCATGTCTGCTCCCTCATCCCATCGTCCCAGTGCTCCAGGGTGTCTGGGTCCCATCAGGACATGTTGAGTGGTGCTCATGCTCCTTGCCCGTGTTCCCTGCCCACCCTGGACTCACATTGATGTGCTCCTTCCCTCCATGCTTGGCACGGATCTGGGGATTCTGTATGAGGTCCAGGTGAGTCCCCCATACGGCGATGGGTGTGTTTCCACTGCCCGGGGAAGAAAGGAGGAGGCGTGTCAACACGGGGATAGGAATAGCAAAGGCACTTGAAGATGATGATGATGATCAATCAGGCTGAGCTCTGACATTAAAGACAATGATAGCCAGGAGGCGTGATAATGTTCACAGGGACAATGATGACAAACTGACTGAATAATGATAAGGATGAGCTCTCAGCAGCCAAGGGGACGACAGTGATAACCAGATGTCTGCGGCTGTCCAGCACTGGGCTCATCGAGAGCTTGGACACCCGTGGAGGCTCTGAAGCCTCCTGACTGGAGCCAGATGTTTCTCCGCAGCCCCTGGTGTGTCTGCCCCAGCCCTCACCGATCTCAGGGAGATTTTCACACTAGCCTTGGCCTAATGAGAGCCTTGCTCCAAGAGGCCCCCCACCAGACCCTCCAGGGTCTGAGCACTGTCTCCTCCCCAGAAATTACTACAATTTCATCTGCAACAGTTACAAGCTTGGCAAATAAAGAATCTCTGTCACCCACATTCATTTCTACCTCTCTATGCATCTGCTCATCTCTGCACTCCCAGTTATTCCCTGGCTTCCTCTCACCCTCCACCTGGGCCCCGCCCCGCTCCCTCTCCCTCCCCCCCCCCCTCCCCCCCCCAACACGTGCACACACACACAAGCATGCGCCTACATACACGTGCACATGCATGCTGGGAGATTCCTGTAAAACCCAGACAGGCTCTTCTGCCCATGGCGGTGTTCCACAACGGGATTCTGCTATCTGGCCATCTCCCAATCTTCTCCATCACCAATTCAACACGCGTTTACCAACGGACCCGCCCCCCCCCCCCATCACTGATCCTTAGTAGCCCAGACTCTTGGGAGCAGTCTGAAGCCTCACTCTGCAGAGCCCCACCCCATCGGAGAATTTGTTCACTGCAGCAAAACCTCTAGGGCCGGCTGGCAGGCCCCAAACCTCCAACCTCCCTCTTGTTATGAACGTGACTCAGGGTCCACTACTGAGCGCCAGGAAGGACAACACCTCTACTTCTGTGACAATGACATGAGGAAGAGCTGAATTAACCCAGACTGTGAATTCCTTAGGGAGCTGTAGAGTTTGTCTAGGCAAAGGGCTACACCAACTTCCTAGATTCCCGGGGCCTCGGGGGGCAAAACCCAGAATAGCTTTCTACAATTTCCCCCCTCTTTGTGCCTCATAATCATCTACTTTAAAATCACGGCTAAAGCTTATAAAGTTTGGGTCTTAGGAGGTAACTGCTGAGGACAACCACATCCGATCTCAGCAAAGGCTGCCTTTCATGGCTGTAAGGCGGGGGGTGGCAAACTTTTCTGGAAAGGGCCAGAGAGTAAATATTTTAGGCTTCCCAGGCCATATGGTCTGTTGCAATTACTCATCTCTGCTGTTGTGTTGAGAAAGCAGCTACAGACAAAACATATATGAATGAGCATGGCTGTGTTCCAATAAAACTTTATTTATAAAAGGAGGCAGATGGCCAGATCTGGCCCCCAGGTTGGAGTTTGCTCAACCCCAGTTTAAAAGATTGTTCTCTGTACTGGACTTGTCCTTGACCCCCGCTTCAGCCAGGGAGACCACATCTCTATGCGTTCCCCCTTTCCCTGATGCCAGATGTCCTGTAGAACTGAAGCCCATGGTGCGGAGGGCTAAGGACTGGGTGAGGGGCAGTGGGAGAGAGCTGGGCCAGGCACTGCACTGTGCGTATGCGTTCTGCTTACCCCTCCCAGTGCCCCAGGAGGGAGCTGATGGAGGAGAAACCATGAGCCCAGAGAAGTCAAGTAACCTTTAAGGTGATTGGTTATTTTGGCTGGTTAGAAGCAGAGCTGGGCTGAGCCCACTCCTTCTGACCCCAGGGCCTGTTCCATTCCACCTCAGCCCCTGACCCAGCAGTTTCCCAATGGTCAGCAGGGCCCTTGGTGTCAGGATGCCCTTAGCATCGCCTTCCCATTACAATGTATCCCCCAGGGACTGGAACAGCGCTCCCTCCCTGAAGGGAGATGCCACACTCCACAGCCCCACCAAGCAGGGACTGGGAGGGTGGGTCCCTAGGGATCCTGGAGTTTCCAAAGCCCCCTGGGAATCTCTCCAGAGGGGAGGCCGGGAAGTTACGCAGCTGGTACAAGTCAGCTTGCGAATGGCTGAGTGAGAGGTGGCCTTAGAGGGTGTTGCTGTAACAGCACATACCTGGCTCCCTCCTAGGACATGCGCTCTCTATACTTGTTTTGGGCCCCCGGGAAAAGAGCAGGGAACAAGATCTACTCCCTGCCCTTGAGGAGTTTGCAATAGAGGGAAGGTCGAAGCAAGCAGACAACTCGGGGTCATGACAGAGCAGGACAGAGGAATGGCAGGATGCTACAGATGCCCAGAGGACAGACATCTGAATTGCACCCTGGTGGTCGGGGCACGTTTTTGTTCAAGAGCAGGCCAAGAAGAAGTTGGATCTGATCTCTTTCTCCTGCATCCCTCAGCAGGATTGGAATTATGGCCCATATTTGCCAGAAAGGAGGTTCCGGGGAAGAGGACTGGCACCCCCTCAGCAGTCACTATGACGGGATCATTTCCTCCGGGTGTACCCACCAATGCTCAGATTAGGGGTCACGGGCTCTTGCCGGTCAGAGCTTGGCCTCAGGGGCCGGGTCCCATTCAGAGGTGTTCCCGGTGGAAGGAGGGCGCCCTGGGAGGAAGGTCTGATTTGGGGGGTGCTCTGAGTCAACCCCCACTCATCAGTCCTCAAAGCTGAACTGGGCCCCAGAACTGTCCTTGGCTCTTGAGAGTTGAGGAAGGAAAATTGAGGTCAGGGCTGCCCCTACCTGACTATGCTCCACTCTGGCTCGATCCGCACGATGGTAGGGTCCTCCACATACTGGAAGAACAGGTCCTGGTGGATGCTGGCCTTGTCCACTTGCACCATCACCTTCATTTCTAGCACCTCATCTGAGGATGTGGTGTTGCAGACGATGTAGGATGGAGAGCGTCTGCAGGGAGGGCAGACATGGAGCTGGGCTCCGGGTGTTGATGGGGACAGGGGTCCGGGTCAGGGCCCTCCCACCCCTCCCTGTTCGTCAGGCTCCTCAGAGGCAATAAGTCAGCGCTGCCTCAGATATAAAGCTCCAGGCACTACTGCAAAGACTTGACCCAACGGTAGACAGGTTCCTCTGAGCCCTCTTTTCAACAAGGCCTTATCCTTGGGCCCTGTCCTGGGCCTGTCAAGCCCCATTTTTAGCAAGAATCCTGCTAAGTCAAAACTCCCGACCCCCCTCCAGTTGATACCTGAGTACCCTGGGCTGCCTTGGGCAAGAATCCTGTTAAGTCCATTTAGCAAGAATCTCCCTACTCCTATTCATCTTAGTAATTTGCCATCACTGACCCCCTCACTATGCTGCTTGGCTATAAATCCCCCCATGTCTTTGCCGTATTTGGAGTCAAACCTGATTTCTTTCCTTCCCCCTTGTGATACTCTTGGCGCCTATTGCAATAATCCTGAGTGAACTCTTCCTTACCATTTTAGCAAGTGTCAGAACAGTTTTTTCTTGATCACTGGCCTGACTTCAGATCTGTCACAGCCCTCAGCAGAGTTCTGTCCCAGGAAAACCTCTCCTGCAGAATGTCACGTCCCCACCAAATCTGAGTCCTGCATCAGACGAACCTCCCACCTCCCTCCTATACCCCAGGCTCCTGGCTTACAGAAGGTGTGCCCTTTTGGGCCTGGATGGTGGAATCAGTGGGGGAGAAAGTCGGCTGCCCTTGGAGGTTGAACCTCAGCCAGCTGGGGTAGGGGCCCTTAGCAGATTTCAGCAGGCCTGGCTGGCTCTGCAGCAGCTGGAGAGAGGCTAGCCTGCAGGCAGGGGCTCTAGATTCCCCAGGGAGTCCTGCGGAACCCGAGGGTTCTGTACAGCGGTTGGTATAGGGGCACAAAGGCTAAATGGTGGGCAGCAGCATGAATGGGGTGCCTGGCAGTTCTCCAGACTGAGGCAAAAACATCCACAGCCAGTTCCGCCCATCAAATCCTCCCTCAAAGAGAAAGGCCACTTTCTCAGGGAAGAGAAGGCACTTCTAGGAGGTTAGCCCTGGTCGTCTGCTGCCCTGAGGCTGCCCCACCGGCCCCCCACCACTGGGCTGTGGGCCCCTGAGGCCTGCCTTGAGCTGAGTTACCTGTGGAAGAGGCAAGGCTGCTTCCCGAACATCACCACCACATTGCTGCCCGCGTTCAGGTTGGTGCCCGTGATGGTCACTTGGGTGCCCCCCGACATGGGCCCCCGTTTGGGCTTCAGGTCCGAGAGTGTCAGCGTCTGTGCAGGAAAGGATCTGGCCTGAGACACAACTGGGGCAGGGTCTGAAGAGAGGCAGCACCCCGCTCCCCGGAGCTGCCTTCTGGAATCCTCAGTAACGGTGGCCTCCCAAAGAGCCCATGAAGATTTTATTGCGCTTGTGTGGGAAAGCGACGTTCTGGACCCTGAGAGCTTACACCTCTATATTCATAACAGTAGTAACAGCTGCTGTGTGCTGACGTTTTAACTGGCACGCTTTATATCTTCATCCATCTCTATATAATTTATTTGCTCAGTCAATTCTACAAGGTGGGTATTATTACCTATTTTACAGAAAAAAATCAGAGATGTTAAGTAAAGTTCCCGAGGTCACACAGCTAAAAAGTGGCACGTCTGAGATCTGACTCCAGAGCTCTGGTTCTCCACCACCTCTCCAGTCTCGGGTGCTTCTGGGAAGGTGACCTGTTCCTTCCACGGGCCTGTTAAGAGAGCTGTCCAAAGGCTCAGAGGCCTGAGCGATGGGTGGTGAGGGCCCCAGGGAAACCCAGGGGGAGGAGTGAAGAAGGGTCAGGGATGGAGTGAGGATGGGGAGGGGGCACCTGTGAGCTGAGGATTTGGAGTTGTGCTCTGCTCTTTCATTAGCATTTTAATGGAAAAAAACTTTCCTCAGTCCCAGGTGAGAAGCCCGTATCTGCATTTAAATGAAGATTTCGCTCTCCCCTGCCCCTTAAAGAATTCTGCACCAAAAGTTGAACCTACTGGGCTCCCAGCCCGCAGGCGACCTCCCCAGGAGAGGCCTCACTAACACCTGGGGAGGAGGGGAGAAGCCCCAGTGAGGCTGGCAGGTATGCGGGGGGGGGGGGGGGCGGCCCGCGGGGACACTTGCCCACCGCCTAGTGTCCGGCCCACACGTGGGGCCCATCTGCCCACCGGGTCCCTGCAGATCCCAAGCACCTGGCACCCACAATGCTAAGGAACCCCTCATTCTAGAGCTGCTGCTGGCTCAAATGGAGACTGGGACACAGGTGGGGTGAGGCTGTGGAAAGAGTGGAGAACAGCTCTGCCCAGATATGCTGTGGGATTCTGGACAAACCATGTAACCTCTCTGATCACAAAATCAGGGAGCTGGATCAAAACAAAGTTATCTCAAAGGGGCCTGCCGGTTTTCCGGTTCTGTAACTTGCAGTCACCTCCCCCACACGGTGCCTTTGTCCCACTGTCTGGAAGGGAAAGAGGGCGCTGTCTGTGCGAGGCAAGGGGGGGCCTGGAGATAAAGTAAAAAAACAGGCAGGTTAAGACAGATGGGGGTGGCAGCAACGTGGGAAGAAGAGGCTCTCTGGCAGCCTGTGGGTGGGGTTCTAGAAGGGGCGGAAGGGAGTAATCCTTGTTGGCTCTGCAGTGGCGGGCTGGGGGCGGGGGTGAGGAGTGGATGATACTGAGACATGTTTTAAAGTTGTGAGAAACTATTAATTATTCAAGCCATGCTTCATAAATATTTCACGGCGGGTTTGCACGGGAAATCAAATTCTGTATTACTTGCCACCCCTTCACTTGGCTCCTGGATGGAGGTAGGGAAGGGAAAGATTCCCTCCGTGGAGATCTCTAGGGACAGAACGGGTGACGAGACCAAGGATGCTGATCCCTTGGCCTTGGCGGTTGGGTTTTGGCTTTTGGGTGAATAAACCCACACATCAGAGTCTGGCCTGATTTGTGGAGGGAAACTGAATCAGACTCAAACCTTACTCCCAATCTCAGCACAGGGAAGGGGGCTCCCCAGCATGCCCCAGGTCCTGAGAGGCATCCCTGAAGAAGAGGCTCCCCCGCGTGCCCCGTGTCTCCAGAGGACCCCTGGGAAGGGGTTCCCGAGCTGTCCAGGACCCCAGAGGAGTCACGGGCTTCTCTGTGGGGCCCAAGTAGGGCCACCTGCAAGCTGCCTAGCTGTGTGGGGAGGCTATGAGGGCTCCGAGATGCTGGAGAGAGGGTCACTCTGTCTCTTCCCACCTCTCAGTTGAGACTCATGGGAACCTCTGCCCCTCATTCCCTCCCTGGACCCTGAGGAGTTCTGGGGGTAGCCTCAATGACTGGGCCCTTAAATGCACAGGAGGGGCGGGGGAGGAGACCGAGCTCCCCAGCATCATTCCCCTCCCTGAACATCTTCCCCAGTGGACACGTGGCATCAGCACAGTCCCTCACAAACCGCCAAGTCCCAGGGCCCCACTGGGCCGGTGCATTCTTGCCTTGTGGCAACAGCTCTTTTGTTTACTGACTTCTCTTTCTGTCCCAACCTCTTCCCTTGCCATCAACCCCCTTCCTGCTCCCTCCCTTCTTTTCCCATCTTTAGGTGCACTCCTATCTTATGCCAGGAGCAGCTTCCCACTACTCGAGATCCACACGGAACATCCTATCCTGCCTTTCCATCCAGTTTCTTCCATGAAGCCTCACCTTGATGCCCTGCATCTAACCACATCCTGCTCTGGGGCAGAAACTGTCATGCAGGCAAGACTGACCTTACCTGAGAGCCGAAGGGGCTTTTGAATGTTTACAACATAGGCTCCTTGTAAGAATTAAGCCTGGAACCGGATATCAACGGGCACACAGCAGCTGTTCTACAAACATTGTTTCTCCTAGGCCAGTGGCCCTCAGGCTGGGCTGAGTTGGAATCTCCCGGAGAGTTTTGTGCCCCACCTGTAGTGTGTGATTTAGCTCAGGGGGGCTCTGGAGCATTTTGTTTGAAGCTCCTTGGGAGAGTCCAACACGTAGGAAGGTTTAGAACTGTCTAAGCACCATGGGGGCTAACAAAGAAATAAACAGTCGGGGCTTCATCTCCAAAGACTTACTGGTCTGACAGAGGGAGCAGGGGCTCCAAGAGGCAACACGGAGTGTCATGCAGGCAGATGCCACGGAATCCCCAGTAAGCCAGGTTCCATGGGTGCTGTGGGCTGGGTATTCGGAGAAGGTGTGGAGTGGCTCACAAGCAGGGCTTGGAGGATTGAGGATTCTCTCCCCCTCTCTGTCTCTCTCTTTCCTTCTCTCTCTCTGCCCCTCGCTCACTTGCGCCCTCTCTTTCTCTCTCCCTCTAAAAAATAAACAATACATAAAACAAACTGCAGGGCAGGTGACTGGCTGACCAGCGCTTGCTTTGGCCAGGTAATTTCCGAGCTGGATTTTGTGCCCAAGTTTGGCATCCATGCCACACCTCTAAACACTTGGGGAGCGCTGTCTCTGTCTCTGCCTCAGTTGTCTGAGTCTCCCTTTCAGTATCTCGACTCTGCTGGATTAACAACTTCTGGGTATATACATACAGATAACGTACGGTATAGATGCCCTCTCTCCACACACACACACACACACACACACACACACACACACACACAGACACACATACATTTATCGCTGATTGCCTTCACGTGTGTTGGGTTTCCCTTGGCAACTTCCTCAAATCCTTTCAGAAGAAGGTGGGGGTACAGATCCTAAAGAGCCAGGTAAACCTACGCATCCATTAAACCCATCCATTACACATGCGTGTTCTTCTACGTGAGCTCCTGCGTGTGCAGAGAGAGCCAACTGTGTTTAGAAGGAGGGGAAGTTTTCAGGAGTAGAGGGGGAGCAGAGAGCGCGGGCGCCGGCTGGAGGGGCGTCTGATGCACACGTCTCCATTCCCATCTGCACGTACGCCATACCTCTCCTTCTAGACCTCAGGCCCCCGAGGGATGGGCTGTGCCTGGTCTGGGTCATCACTGTAACCCCCACAAGCCGGGGCCACCGAATTAAATTATGAAATTCAACCAATTAAGCAAATATTTATCAAACAATTTCATGAGAAGGATCCTGCCAGGTAGTGCTAAAGAGTTGTCAGCTGAAGGGAGAAAGAAGGAGGAGGAGGAGGGAGGCAGATGAAAGAGGAGGGAGGAAGGGGCGGAGGGTGGAAAGTGGGCTCCCCTGGACTGTTCTGGAGCATTTGATGCCCATCCATCACTTCAGGCTTCCAGCTTCCAAAAGCAGCTTAGAATCATGAGGAAACTACCCCATCACGGCCGTCATTAACCCGAGAATCAACTGGATGGCAAAACTTTGAAAATGAGGCAGCGTGAGAGGCAACAGAGACGCCCATGCCTCCCGCACACCTGCCGGACATGACAAGGCTGAGAGGTCCCGAGAGCCCCAAGCCCGCAGAGCCCCTCACCAGGGGCTGCCTCTGCAGGGCCAGGGAGGGTCCTGGCTGGAGGGGATGTGGAGGTCAGGGTGAGGTCTGGAGACAAGCCCTGGGAAAGGAAGGTGGGGTAGGGGTGCAGGTGAGGTGGGGATTGGGGTGGGGTTAAGGAGGTCATGGGACGGGGTGTTGGTGAAGTGGGGGTTGGGTAAAGAAGGTCATGAGATGGGGTGCTGGTGAGGTGGGGGTTGGGTTAAGAAGGTCATGAGATGGGGTGCTGGTGAGGTGGGGGTTGGGGTGGGGTTAAGGAGGTCATGGGAAGGGGTGCTGGTGAGGGGGGAAGGCAGAATGAATGTGGATTCTGGGATAGAAATGACAGGGTGCCCGTGTACAGGGAGAGGGCAGGCCATAGTAGAAACACCAGCTGCCACAGCACCCATACAAGAAATGAGAGAGGTGACACAGCCATTTTGTGTAATTTTCGTAACAATACCATGGGGTAGATGTAAACATTATCACCCCCGTTTTAGAAATGAAGACACTGAGGCACAGGAAGGTTAAGGAACTCACCCAAGTTTGCCCAGCAAGTAGGCAGCAGAGCCAGGGCTCAAACCCCAGCCTGGCTGCGCTGCCACTGGGCCAGCTGGGGGCCCTGGGCCTGGGAGCCACAGCAGCTTCCCTGGGGCTGGGCCAGCCACTGCAGGTTTGGATTGGGACCCAGACTTTCAGATTTAGAGGGCTGTGCTCTCACACTGCAGGACAGACTTCCACAAGCAGCCTGGAGTCTGCCCACAGAGGTCTAGCCGGGCAACAACCATGGTCACGAGGTCTGTAGCCCGTGCTGGTCAGGTCGCCGATGGCTGGGACTCACCATGAAGTAATAGAGTTGTGAGGACCGGGCCATGAACTCAGGCCGACACACGGCCACACAGATCTCCACGAAGCCTGCGTGCTGGCTCGGCTTGGCCTCCCCCATCTCACACACGATCCTGCAGAGAGGAGAGGACAGACCCTGTGGTCACAGGACTCCCAGATGTGACCCCTGGGCCCCATACCTACCCAGGTCTTTTCTCTGCAGTAGGATCTCAGGGGTGGGCAGGGGAGGAGGAGGGGAAAGACACCCGATTCTTCCCTGCAAGGCTCCCCTTTGGTTCTCAGGAAATGAGGAAATACAACCTACAGGGGTCTCCTTGGAGACCCTTGGAAAGTAAGGAGCCTAGGGGAGGGTCCCTGTGTCCTGACCCTAGACACCCACTCCCTCGTTCAGGAATTGTCCACTGAATTGTGAATCAGAGGGTGGGAAATGTTTCAGTCAAATAGCACAGGGAACACCGCTGGCATGGCCCAGAGAGGTAGTGACCTTGCCAAGGGCCCACAGCATGTCAGACAGGGACCCTGGAGCAGGCTTAATTAAAATTTTCAGACCCTCACTCAGGGGCATTTCATTCCCACTGCATGGACTGCCTCAGTGGAGTATTTTCTGCCCCCGCCCGGTGCCAGCTGGCCACTTGGCTGGATGGAGAGACTCGTGCTTGGGGGGAGGGGGAAGGATGGAGGAGAGTCACACATTGGTCCCTATTAAAAATGCTCATTGTTTTAATTACAAAATTTGTTCATACCCCTCAAAAACAGAAGTGCGACAGTAAAATTAAATGTCCCTTTTTCACTCCTAATCTCTCATAAAAGCTTGGTGTATATGTATATATCCTCATAGACCTTTCTCTAGACCTATGCAAACACACATAGTGTGTGTGTGCATACACACACACACACACACACACACACACACACACACAAGATCAATATATAATTAAGATCTCTATTTTACAAATGAAGAAACTGAGGCACAGAAAAAGTTAGGCAACTTGCCCGAATATATATATTTGCAAATATACACACACACGTGTGTGTGTGTGTGTGTGTGTGTGTGTGTATAATGTGTGATATTACACACACACATAAACATAAGTGTTATGTACATACACATGACCAATTATATACAAACATACATATATAAACACACAGGATTTTCAAAATAAAAGTGAAACATGGCTCTCCACTGTTCCAAGCTCATCTCGTTCTACTCAGAGACACAGCGTGGATTTGCCTCGTGTCAGGTACAGCCTTCCTGTATTCTTCCTGACAGCTTCATTGCACTTCATACTATGGCTGCACCATTATTTATTTAACTATCCTCCTCCTGATGTACATTTAACTTATCCTGATTTTTCTCCTACTCCACATAACCCTGCAAAATGAACCAACTTTTTACACATACGTCCCGAAGCATTGCACATTTATTAGAATAAATCTCTGAGGAGGGAGCTTGCGGGGTCGTTGTTTAGGCATTTAATGTTTGACAGGTAGAAGAAAATAATGGTCCAAAAGGGTTGTTACCAATTTGCACTTCTGTCAAAAGCAACAGAGGGAGATTCCTTCACTCTTTTTCCAAAGCTAGATATTATCAATCCTTTGATAGTTTTTCCAATGTAATAGGGAAAAAAGATCTCCTTTTTTGTTCTCATTGTTATTTCCCTGATTACCAGTCATGTAGATAGTTTCAAGCATGTGTGTGTGGCTGTAAAAAATCTTAGATAGCCTTTCCTTTGATTTGTCTGAAGCTGTCTCCTTATATTGCTAATGGATTGTCTTTTTGTGGGAGCTTCTGAATGAGCAGTATTAACTTTTGTCTGTAGTAAGTATTGCAATTATTCTCTCTTAGCCTGTCATCTGTCTTTCAACTTTGTTTGTAATGTCTTTTGCTCCACTAACATTTAAAAGTATCCGTGGTAAAAACTGCTCCTTCTTTTACTTTGTGGCTTCCAGGTTCTGTGTCTGTCTTAAAAAGAACTTCTGGGTGAGAGTCCAGTAAAAAGATATGCCTTTCTGTCCAGATAGCCTACCTGGCACACGTCCAGTGTATGAAAAGATAGAAAGTATATGAAAACACTTGCCGTACATATACCTCCTCCCACCCCATTTCAACCATCCAGAAGTATCTGCTGTCAGCATTTTGATGTACATGTTTTCAGTCTTCTTTATCTTTTATAGAATTAATTGGAAACTCGAGTCTGCTTGGTAAATGATGTTCTCACTAATACACCTTGAGTATACACCTGGTCATGATTCTTCTGTAATATCAGATTTCATGGCTATATAGTTACCTGCCTATGCATGTACAATAATTGATGGGATTGGTTAATTCCCTATTTTATTTTATTTTATTTATTTTTTTTTTTAAATTTTTTTTTCAACATTTATTTATTTTTGGGACAGAGAGAGACAGAGCATGAACGGGGGAGGGGCAGAGAGAGAGGGAGACACAGAATCGGAAACAGGCTCCAGGCTCTGAGCCATCAGCCCAGAGCCTGACGCGGGGCTCGAACTCACGGACCGCGAGATCGTGACCTGGCTGAAGTCGGACGCTTAACCGACTGCGCCACTCAGGCGCCCCATTAATTCCCTATTTTAAAATACACAAATTGCTTCCAAATTTCCACTGTTAAAAATAAGGCCAAAATAAGTATTCTTGCAAATAAATATTTGTGCATTCTGGTTATTTAAGTAAAGTTCTAGAAATATTATGACCAGACTAAAGACTTTCAATCCACACTTCTAAATTTCTTTCCACAAAATTTGTCCCAATTTACATTCTCAATATGAATGTATGAATATGTTATTTCTCCTGCTTCTCATCTGCACTGGACATTGATTTTTAAAAATTGTTCCCCATTATTTTAATTTTCATTTCATTGATCACTAATGATTTTAACTTTTTTATATGGCTTTTGGTTCTTTGTCTACTTTGTGAATTGCACAGTCATGCTCTTTGCTCATTTTCTGATATTTACTTTTTTTTTTTTTAATGGAACCTCTTTGTATGTTAAGAAAAAGCATGTATTAACTCTAATTGGTTATAACAATAGTCCCAGTTTATCATTCATATTTTTCTTTGATTTTTGATGAACAAATTTTAAGTTTTATATACTCCAATCCCCTGATCTTTTTCTTTGTAATTTTTTTCTTTTGCTGTTATGCTTAGCACAGTTATACTTCCCTTATTTGAAATCAAATAAATTCTCACCTGCATTTTCTTCTAGTCATTCCACAGATTTATTTTTGTCACTTAATTCATTAATCCGTCTGGAATTTATTTTGGCGCATAATGTGAAATAAGAGTCTGGTGTATATTTCTTTCAGGGAGTTAATGAGGACCACTTATTGAATGATCTTTGCTTCCCTTGCTGATTTGAAATGTCACCTTTATCACATCGCTGACTTTTTATGTATCAGGATTCTTTTCCTGGGTGTTCTATCTTATTCCACTGATCTAACTAGTACCACAATATTTCAATCATGTGACTTTATAGTAATATATTTTCTATCTGGCTTTGCAGGTCCAGAGTAGGGCACTTTAAAGTTCCCCAAATCACAATATATCAGTAGCAGCTTGCTTTTGGTTTTGTTCTAGGAAGGACTCAGAAAGTTGAAGGAGCCACAGAAAGATCTTTGGGCAAATAAGCAGTGACGGGCCATGAGGTGAGTTCTATCAAGAATAGATCCTTCTATCACAGCATCTACTAAGAGCGCTTTAGGAAGATCTGGAGGGAAATCAGGAGGAAGTGAGGATGGTGGTACTGATGGTTCCAGAATCACGAAACCTGCGCAAGACCAGCAAGCTGACAGGTAAACCGCACTGACATACCCATGGGAGACCTGCAAAGGGTCAGTAACTCACGCACACAGGACAGGTGGTAAGGTGTCACTCTGGGAGGGGCAGCAAGATGGCATAGAAGATAGATTCTATCGTGCTGGTAAACATTTCATGGGAGAGTCTGCTGGGCTGGAGAACTGTGCTTACTTATTCCCAAGGCAATGATACATGACTCACAAACGTCCTCTAACAGGTGGATTGGGAGGTAAAGGTCAATCATGGAATGACCCACTCCAGGCACCAGCAAACTGCATGGAGAAAAAAACAATCCAAAATGCCCACAGGCCAGAGAGTGGGTATGGGGTTTCATTTTCAGTCTCCACAGAAAGGACCAGAGGTTTAGCTTCTTTCATAATTGGAGGACATGAGTGGGGAGTTAGGGACTGCAGGGGGTCGGGAACTGAACTCACACTTCTCTTGCAGAGTTTCATTTTGCTTTGTCTCACCACTACCCACAGTCACACCCCAAGGAGGTAGTGATCACTTTTCTCTTCCCTCCCAGCCCCATGTCCCCCTCCCCTTTCTACACTTGCCAATATGGTAGCTAGCTAGTTCAGGGGCGGGGAGTACACTAGAATATTAGGGGCATTCTACTCCCCCCACCCCAAGGGTCTCTAGCACCTTTTGCCATTGGCTGTCAATTGTTGGCCAGGGAAGGGGGGTCAACAACAAGAGAGAGCCGTCTCGTGTGGCTTCCACTTACTGTTCTGCAGGGATGTAGCCATCCACTAAAGGGCTGCACTCCACACCGGCCACCTTCACATGGGAGGCGATGTCCCGGAATTCCAGACCCAGGTTCTCCCCTCGGATGGTGACCTTGGTGCCCCCTTCCCGAGGACCCGTGACTGGGATTATCTGGAGGGAGGAAGCGCGGTAATTTGACAGGCACCGAGAGAGAGCCATTACCCACTTGCTGGTGGGGCAAGGAGAGGCTTCTGGCTCCTCCCCATCTCTGCCCCATTCCCTGAGTTGGGCCCCTGTCCACGAGGGCACCCAGGTCTGGGACGCTTAATGGCAGGAACTTCGGGTAGAGAAGTCCGTGTTTGGGTGTGGTATTAGGAGCAGTGTTCAAATCCCCTCATTCACCTTCCTATTTTGTGGAAGAGACGAGGGGATGGAACATGATATACACCGTTCTCGGGTGATTCCTAGAAAGTCACGGAATAAAGCCTCCCGGCATTTGCTTGTGTTGTTTCATTCTGAAGGAAAATGAACAACCCTCTTGATGCCCACCGCCCTCCACGCTATGGCAAACCACCAAGTTTTCAAGATCCTTCTCAAATGTCACTTCCCCATAACCAGTTGTCCCCTCTCTCTCCACTGTCATGGTAACAATCACTGGTGTCTGATTCCTCATCCTTCAGATCCTGTGTCTCTGAGCTCAGGGATGGTGTCTTATTTCCCATGGACTTCTCAGTGATGGCACTATATTTATCTCTCAAGTTGTCATTGGGCTGAAAACCACAACTACCCAAGCATCTTCCTGGATTTAGAAGAGCATTTGTCACAAGCCCTTTGCCTTCATTGTCTGGCTTGGTTTCTAACAGAGATGGGATTAATTTAGACTTTACCCTCATATACTGGCCAAAATGATGGCTTTTCCTTCCAAGATGTCACCATTGGTGTTAAAAACCCATGACTGAGGTGCTGGGAACCAACAACCAAGGGCCTGCTTTGAGGTAGGTGCCCCATACAGTTCATGCGATCTAATTATGACATCCCGCAGCAGTGACCCTAGTGGCAGAAGACATTCTGTGCCAGCCTCTCCTGGCATTTGAAAGACCAGAGAAGGGCACATTTCCCATTCCTGGTGTCTCTGAACACCAGCAACTGGATATTGGCCAACACCAATGGGATCGCAACTGAAGGAGCCCAGACGGCCCACCTCTTAATGTTTCCTACTCTCTCCACCCCCAAGGGCCACAACTGGGGGCTCCACCCTGGAGGAGGGTGAGAGAAACCAGGCTGGAGGGGCGGCTTTGCTGGGGAAGTCTGTTCACCTACGAGTTAAGATATTTCCTGCTTCTTACCCATGCGTGCACATGTGCACGAGTGAGCGTGCACGTGAGTGTGAGGGTTTTCAAATGCATGTTCCCACCTTAGTGGAAAGACAGATCCCTCGGAGGCAGGGGCCGTTTCTGTGAGAGGGAGGCGGGCAGATATAGGGAGGGCTGGAAGGCGGAGGGTATGTCCAGCCAGTCCCCAAAGCCCCACTGGCACCTGGCAGGAGTGGCTTCATGATATTCCAGCCCTGGCGTGTTGTCCTGAAAAAGGAGCTTTATCTCTGGCCCAGTCCTTGGTTCCCCGGGCTCCCCGGAGGGCTGACGCCAGTATGGAGCCAGTAAATAGCCTCCGTCACAGGGAGATTTGTTTAATTTGCCATCTCCTCCCTGTGATTTTCTTGGTCTCAGGCCAAGAAGGAAGCGAGTCGTACTGTTTGCTGCAGACACACGGTTAGCAGTCACGTGTGGCGGCCCCTGGGGGTGGTTCTGCGTTAAAGGCTCTGCGGGTGGGGGAAGTTGTAAAGGAGGGGGACTGGGGCGCGTAGGGCTCAGGTGCCCTCCTTCCCCAGGTTAAATGCATGTGTTTTGCCCCAACTCGAGAACTGCTATTGAGGTTCCTACCCATGCAGGAGACTGAAGTAGAGTCTGAGGGAGACTCCCCGTGTCTGGAAAACCAGGAACGCGGAGGACAAAGGGACTGAAGTGGGGGGGGGGGAGCACATACAGAGGACCACCACCGTGGGGCCACTATGCTGGAGGAGGTTGTGCACTCACAAAGGTCAAGCTCCCTACCTGCCTTTCTCCATCCCTTGTAGGTGTGCACAGCTTGTGAGTGGAGGGGTGAGGGAGTATCTCTATGGGTGTCTTGCCTTTGTGGTGAGAGAGAGCGCTTATCTAGGAATCCAGAGACCAGGGATTCAGGGACCGTTTGATTTATGCTTTGGTGTGAGGGCATTAGCATCTCTGGGCATTACTCTTTGTATCTGGGAAAGGGGGCTGATAACCCTGGCTTTGGCAAGCATTATAACTTGAAATGTGTCCTCTCCAAATCCACCTGTGGAAGTCCAAATGCTCAGTACCTCCAAACGTGGCCTTATTCGGAGAAAAGGTCTTTCTAGAGGTAATCAAGTTGAAATGAGGTCATTAGGGTGGGTTCTAATCCAGCATGACTGGTGGGTGTCCCCATATGAAGAGGGAATTTGGACAGAGACACGCAGAAAGACAATGAGAAAAATTCAGGGAGAAAAGCCAGGAGAGAGGCTGGGGCAGGTCCTCCCGCACAGCCCTCCGAAGGACTGGTCCTGCCCACATCTGGTTCTCAACTTCCAGCCTCCAGAACGGAGAGATAGCAAATTTCTGTCTCTGAAGCCCCTCTGTCTGCGGTACTGTGTGGTGGTAGCCCCAGGAACCATGTGGGGGGGGGGGTCGCTGTGAGCACAGACAAAGCAAGGGACAGGAAACTGCTTCGCAAACTGTGAAGGACCACACCAACATCTGGCCTATTATGGTAACTGCCACGGTCAGGCTATTGGATACGTGTGTGTTTGTGAAACTCTGCACAGAGCCACGTACCTGTCTATCCTTACTATGTATGGAGGCGAGACAGAACTCCCTTTCCTGTGTTTTTCTCTGCCCCTCTCTGCTTGGTTATTAAAATCAGCAGCCACTAGAGCAAGGGGGCGTTGAGTACCTATAATGTACAAACGCTGTGCTAGAGGCCCAGAGGGTCGCGCTGTTGAGACATGCACGCCCCTTCTTTATTGTACCAGGGGAACACGGTGGGAGGTGATGCCTGAGGGGTCTCTCTGCCAGGAGTGGAGAGTGGGGAGATGAAGACACCAGTGGCCTAAATAAACCCCAGGGGCAGTGAAACCCTCGGTGTAGACATGGATGGCAACAGCTTTAACAACGTTGATGATGGACGAGGAGGAGGATGGTGAGACCCCTGTGGGCTGGGCACAGAGCCAGCATTTTGCATGGTTCGGATCTCAGACAATCCTTGTGACTCCTCTGTAAGATGGAACCTTAGACCCCTTGCACACGTGAGGAAGCTGAGGCACGAAGGTAGTGATAAATTAGCCCTGGGATACCCAGCAACTGGCTGGCAGAGCTGGGATGCAAGCCCTGTTCTCGGCACGTTTAGCTCTTCCTTGCCTCTCACTGGTCTTTGCTCCATGGCCTATGTCCCCTGAACTGTGCTCCAAATCCATTTCTGCCATCTACCGGCTTAGGTCTTGCTTTGAGTGAGTCCCAAGGTCTCACCGTTTCCACCTTCTCCACCTCCTGAGGGCTGGGCTCTGTGCCCTGGAACCCCATGCACCCTCTGCTCATGGCTGAATGATCGGTGAGGTTGTCCCCGATGGAACTTAACAGCCTCATCACCCAGATTCTGAGAGACAAAGGGAGAGTGGCCAGGACTTAGAGTCATTTTTGATACTGTTAACATGGAGACTCCAACAGGACAGTGGAGCCCTTCTCTGTGTTCAACCTTCCTTGATAAGGGAGACACCCCTGGACCAAACCCACAGCTTCTGCAGAAGCCGGGCAGGAAAACGAGGATGCCCCCAGCCTGCCCTGGTAATCACTGGGGTGGCTGACACGACGGCGGGGCATGGCTGGTGAGGCCCCAGGCCATGGCAGGGCACGGCTCGGCCACCCGGAGCGGCCCAGAGGACCATGGCTTACCTCTGTGATGCGGGGGTTGGTGCACCTGCTGTTTGCGCCCGACAGCTCCAACCACGGGCTCTCGTGAACGGGGCAGTGCTGCCTCAGGGTGCACTGGCCCTGACTCTGGCACCAGCCGCACTGGAAGTCCGGGTCCGCCTTCAGGCACAGCCCGCAGCTCTCCCGCATGGCTCCGCACTTATAGAGGTGAACTGCGGGCAAAGGGCAGAGGGGAAGCGGGAGGGGATGGGACTGTGGACAAGGAGTGCAGTCCCAGCCTCGGATGATGAGACCCAAGCAGCCGTGTCCCTTTAGCCATTCTGACACAGAGAAGAGCAAAAGAGAACTTGGGCCCCAGGCAGTGAAACTTAATCAGAAGTGGGTCTCCCTCCAGAATCATCAGAGCTCTTGTGGCCAGTCCTGCTCACTCCGCCACACCCAGGACCCCTGCCCATGGTGGCCCTGCACCCGAGAGGTCACGGAGCAGTGCACTTGCATAGAGGGCAGGCTCCGAGCCAGAGGGAGAGGGTCACCACTGGGGCAGGGATGGAATAATGTGTGGCCTCGAATGCAGGCCCTCCCCCTCCCTCTGCCCTATCTCCCTGCCCCTGGGGTCCACTTTCCACACCTTTGTTCTGAGCTGGGTTGTCGATGTTGAAGTGCCCGTTCCACACAACTGTCAACTCCACAGGCAGGTTGTTGATCTCCATCCCTTCATAGGAATACTGCAGGCAGGTTGGGGGTAGGAAAGAAAAAAGTTGGGTTACAGAAATTTCTAGGGAGAGCTAGCTCTTTGGCCTGGAGTCCACGAGGTGCTTGGGGCTAAGGACCTGCTGTGACTGTGCCTGGGTTTGAGGGCATGTGTGGGGAAGCATGGTTCGGGGAACAGGGTAGGGTGGAGGGGGGCAGGATACTAAGGCAGGGGAGGGGCCAGGCCTGGATGGGACACCCATTTGGAATATGGATTCACAGAGCAGATTAGAGCAGAGCTACCCAACCCTCTTCCACGGACGCTGGCTCACACCAGCTGTCGCTTCCCATCTTCCTCCCTCACTGTCCAGGGGAACCTTGTCATTAGGCCCCACCAGGCCCTTGATTCAACTTGGGAATGTTAATTCCTAGGACAAGGTCAGAGGGGGTGGGTGCTTTATCAAAGACCTAGAGAGGGCTGATCAATTTCCAGGCAGGGGTAGTGGGTGCAGGCACTAGAAATGAAGGGGCCGTACTCTTCAGGGGCTGAGCTGATGGAGGTTAGGAGTCAGGAGAGCTGGATGTGGCTTAGAGGTGAGGTGGGAAATCCTGTGGACACCCTAGGGACCAAACCTGGGAATTTGGGTCAAGACTCCAAAGGCATGCACTGGCTCAGAGAGGCCAGGCCCCAGCTCTGTGGCTGCCCATGCGGGAGCTACCTCTAGGCCTGGACAGGGTCCCTGCCCAGCTCTCTTCGGAGTCAGTGCCCCACCTGGCTGGGTCTCATCCTTGGGACTGAGTGCTGGGGCAGGGCAGGGAGGGAACAGGGAGTGCCAGCCCCCCCACATCTGCCTTCTGACAGCAGACACTTCTCAATCCCCAGAGAAGGAGGTAGGTGGCAGGGAATCGGAGCCTGCCCAGGGCAGCATTTCCAATCTGTACCTGGTGATTTTCTCATCATTCCACCAGACTCTGCCCTCCACAGGGGGTGAATGGAGGAATGGAACAGAGACAGGTTTTCTGCAGAGGAGGGGCTGGGAGCTGGCAATTTGCTAGAGGGGTTCAGTCCAAGAGACCTGGCCGGAAGTGATGTTTGCAGAGCCAAAGGCTCTTTCAACTCAGTTGAAGTTTGGAGGGGCTGGGGCGTGGGGGTGTTGATGGATATTATGGAGGTAGCTGGTGCCCCCTCCCCAGAGCAAGTGAGCTGCTAGCTTCTCACTAAGAGGCTACAGAACCTTGGGAACGCACAGCCTGTGGAGGGTCTCAGGGCTTGAGATGGTGCCTCTGCCTCTGGAGCCTATCCATAGAGACTTCTAGAGGAGATGTTACAATCCTAACCTGGGAAATCGCCCTAAATTCCTGAGTTATTGCTGAGAATGTGCTCCAGTGTGAATACGTCATGACACTATCCTCATACACAACATCAGTGGGATGGTTGTCTAGCCTTCTTCAGGCTCTACCCTAGCACTCCCAAATTTTTCACTAACTCCCTGGAGACACGTGCCCAGACCAGGGAGCCACATTCAGTGTTTGCCCCACAGTGGTGGTGGTTTGCTCTGTACCATCCACTCTCTCATAGAATCTCCCTTGTGACCCGCGACACCAGGGTCTGGGCTCAAGCCGTAGAAGAAAGCAAAGCTCCCCAGCCCTGAAGAAACAACCACGGGGACTTTCATGATCGCTCAGCTCAGCTGGTGACTCATAAGCCCTTTGCCCTGTAGTGCAGTCGATCAACTCCCCAGAGATGATGTTCTTTGCTTCTGGGTCAGACTGAGTCCTTCTAAGGCATCCCGAGCTTTCTCACAAAACCTCTTCCTCTCTAGACTGGTGGTTCTCAGGGTGGTCTGTGGGCCACAGTCTTCAGAATCACTCAGGGGGCCTAACCACGGATCCCAGGGCCTCTCCCTACACCTGCTGGATTGGAAGACGGGAATGCATTCCAAACAGGCAACTCTGTGACTCCAGCACTTCGGGGAGTTAGAGACTCACCACTCACACTCCCTGTGGTCTGCTAGAAGCAGGGGACAGCGGCCTGAGGGTGGAGAGATGTTGCAGGAGCAAGAGACAGGGCGGCGGAGAGGAGGGAGGGAAGGGGAGAGGGACAGACTTTTCCAGATCTCCCTCCCACTCCCTCCCCTAGCCAAGCTCCACTTCCTCTCCTTCCCATCCCTATTTCCATATGCCTCCTCCAAGGCCCCAGTGCAGGAAGACTGCCAAGGGAAGGTGCTAAGGGCTGGCTTGAGGCTGTTCTGCCTCTACCTCCAGGAGGGATGCTGGTGGTGCCTAAGTCAGGATCCAAGCCTGGCTCCTGCTTCTCAGGCCTGGGTCTGGCCAGGATTCAATGTGGAAGCAGCAGGTGGTGACCAGGGGTCCCATCAACCAAAGATCAATCGGGCCTCTCTCAGAAAGGCCCGGAAATCCCCCAGAGATTCTGCATACGTATGCATGTGTGTTTGTGTGCACACACGTGTTCACATGCAGCTGACTTGAGAAGAGCTCACAGCACAAATCTATGTTACCTGCGCGTTCACACACGCATGCACACACATACGGGCACATACCGCAACAGAGGGGTTCTGCAGTGACTGCCTGTGTGACTGTGAGCAAATGATGTAAGTCTCAGTTTCCCCATCTGTGACGTGGGAATTATGAACAGTGCAGACCCAACAGGACTCTTTTGAGGGTTCAAGATAACCATCCAATGCGCTGAGCACAGTGCCTGTCACAAGGAATGAGCACTCAAATATGACTGTGTGTTTAGTCTACGCATATACATTTGGGGATGCCGTCCAAAAATATGCTTGTGTTCCCTGTGTTTGTGTTTATGTGAAGTAATAATAGCAGGCATTTATTGAGTGTTTATGCACCAGACTCTTGGTACATATGGGATGAACGCACATGAGCATGCTTATGTGTTTTGGAGTGCATGTGTGTGTTTGCACGCATTTAATTTTCAAGGAAAATTGAAAATACAAGACTTCAAGGATCAAATATGCTTGGCATTGCTTTATCTTTTTATCGCCCATTCCTGGGATCTTGACTATGAAATATTATAGAAGCCATTAACCCCTGGTGCTCCCCACCACCTCCTCCCTCTCTAGGGAAGTCACTGTCATTCCTGGAAGTTTTTTCCCCATGACCTGCGTCCTGCAGCAGGAGGGGGCCGACAGCTGGGGAGCCTGGACCACTGGCTCCCATCCCCCAGGAACCCCCACCTCTGCTTCATTTAGCATTTATATAGCTCTCCGCAATCAGCGGGCAGTTAATCTGCACAAAACCCAGAACTAAGGGGAGAATGTTTCAGGCTCTCAGGGGCCAGGAGGTTAAGTGTCTCAATCAAGGTCTGGCACATCACAGCCCAGCTAGGGGATGATGTTGTTCATTACCTCGGGAAAGGGTGAGCCTCTACCTTGTCAAGCAAAGACAAGACCTATTTAATTTGGACATTCTTTCCACTAACCATTCCCTGTTCTGAGCTCTGAGATGTTGTGCTGGAAAATTCTACCACTCAGGCGGACAGATCTGAACAACGGAAGAAGCTTGTGTATCCTCCGAGACCATCCCCAGGACCCCCGATGGCTCAGCAGACCCCTTCCCAGCTGTGTTCCAATAAAGCAGGGAGGGGGCCAAGTTACCTCCCCATCCTTGTTCTGCACCTAGTAAACTGGGACACGGAGAGGAGATGGGCCGCTGCTGTAGGTTGGTGGAGGCTGGGGGGGATGGAGCTGGCTGCCCCCTGCGGCCCCCTTGCTCCTGTGATTGCTGGTGCCTGAGAGGCGGGGACTGGGCACTATTATTAGAAGCACTTGTCATTTCCCTGGAGCCTTGGTCTAAAGGAGGCCAAGAATACCCACAGTTGTTCCTCCCTCCAACTGCTGCCTGTGAGCTGCCCTGTTTTCCTCCTACAGCCACTGCTGCCCCCCCTCCCCCGCACCGAGGGCTCCAGCAATGGCCCAGGGCCTGTCCCCAAAATGTGGCCTGGAGACGAACTGCCTGCCCACCCAGCCTAGTATCCCACCCATGTGGAGTTTTCCTGTGTCTCTTTTCCTTCTCTGCTTTCCTCTGAGATCTCTGCCACCCCTCTTCCTCTATCATCACAAACTCGGGGGTTTTGTTGGATTTCTCCAGTGGCCCCCCTCCACTCCAGAAAGCTCAGGGATTGAAGAAGTGAAACAACAAAACTCCTCCCACAGTCCTGTCTGAGGCACATCAGACCTTGTTCCCAAGGATAGCACCAAGGCTGGGTATAAAGTGCTCAGTTGCTATTTTTTGCCCAACCTTTGATTGGTGGGGGTGTGTGTTATGAAGCTGGGTTGAACTTCTGAATTTGCTATTTACTTGCTGTGTGACCTGGGGCTGGTCACATGCCCTCTCTGGGCTGCAGAGATTCCCCTCTGTTACAGATCACAAGCAGACACCCTCTCAAGTCTATTCCTGCTCTGGTAATATGTTGTCCTCTATAACTATGGTAACAGAGGCTTGCGGCTGATTATGACCCCAAAGTTTTTTAAGGACGTCACTTGATGGCAAGTGGTATCCTGGCCAAGAACTGCATTTAAACTGAGATCCTTGAAAAAGAGGCTCCTGGGAAGAGCCAGGGCTGAGCCCTCCTGAAGTGCATGATATTCCAGCAGGTTCTGGTAGATACAGGGAACTTTTCCTGGAATCTACCCTTTGTGGGGTATACCTCCTGTCTCCTCACATTCTAAGACTTTAAAATGGTACAGAAACAAACTTCCCCATCACCTTCCTCATGAGGGTGTTGAAATAAGAGAGACTGAGCTGTTTTGGGAGCAGCAGCCTTAGTAAGATACTGTAAACCAGCCCATGGCAGGTGGGAGACCTCAGACAGATTCCTAGCTCCAAGGGCCAGAGTTCAGGGTCCTGCAGGGACGGCAGGGGGATGTGCAGGGAGCCTGGGAATCATGTCCTCTCGTTGGTGGTCAGAGCCTGGGGCCGCAGGCCTCCAGCCCCAATGTCATGTTTCTACTGTGGTCCTGCTGATACGAGAAGTCTCCTGGAAGTGGATCTGAACTTGCCTGAGCCCCTGCACTCAGGAAGCCAGCCAGCTGGGCAAGACCCCTATGGGGGGCCTGGGGCCTCTCAGGGCTGAAAGCAGATTTGACCGTTGTGTCCTGGGGCATCAGCCTTCGAAATCATGAAATCCCCAAGTAAGGAGCTGTGTGTGACCAGCAGATTTTGTCAATCCCCAGGATTCAACGTCAGACAAGCAGATGTCCAGCAGCACCTCCCCCTTGTCCCTATGGTACTGACCAGGATGTCAGGAGAGGCACCCTGCGGAGGCACCCCAGACGAGGGACCCACCCCACCTGTCAGGGATGCTGGGCTCCATTCTGTGTTCTCAGGAGGCTCCAACTTTGCCCCCACAGTCAGGGCAATGTGACCCCCTAGGGGGCTCGTTCAGTGAGTCAGGCCTGGCTCAGGAGTGCTGAGGGCCATTCGTAGAAAGGCAGTGGGTCCCGAGGCAGTGAGTTCTGACCAAGGAGTTTATAGGATGAACTCAGGCTGCTATATGGGGTGCCCTCATCTGTTTAACTGAGCCAGATAAAGCCCGGGGCCATGAGGCCCAGTCTTGTGTCTGGGGAACAAGAGCTCTCCATCATCAGAGGCCACAGACTCTGTCCTCCCTCTTGGGCCAGGTTCCCTGGGGCAGTGTCTCTGATGAAACAGACTTTTCTACATCGTTTAAACCCCTATCTGCCTTCTGCTGACTCACATGTGGAGCTCAGGCTTTTTCTTCCCACAGGAACTTGCTTATTTAGGGGAGAATCACTTGAGTCAAACCCTTGGGGCTGGTCTGGTTGGCTTCAGGATTTATGAGGAAACAGGAGGTGTTTAATATCCCATTTGCTTGTGGGTTTAATCTGGAATGTGGCAGAAATCTGCCAAACAGCCTGGCCACCAGGACAGGAGGGAGATGTACCTATGGGAGCTGTGGGGACACATCTGGGGTTTCAGGGGTTGGGACATTAATTGCCAGTTCAGTCCCTGTAATGCTGAGCGACCTTGGGCAAGCATGTGGGCCTCTCTGACCTCCACTTACGCGTAGAGTTTTTCCGTGAGCTGCTTTGTTCAGGACTCTCCTGGTCCCATATCACATCCCTAAATACAGTCACCACATATAAGCACCCCGCAGCAACATGAAGGATGAATGGGAGGCAGTGTGACATAGGAGACCCTGAATCCAGGCCCAGCCCCGCCCCTCCCTAGCCATGTGACCTTAGACAGTTCGAACTTTTTCTGGGCCAGGGTGGGTTACCCTGAGGCACATGGAACTTCAGCCCCTTCTCAGGCCTGCCTATATATCAAATTTTGTATTTATTACATTTTATTCATAAAAGAGGGTCCCCCAGATTGTGTAAGTTTCAGCCCCACGAATCTAGACCTGCCCCTGCTTCTGGGCCTCCAGGTTTTCATTCGCACAGTGAGGAAGAATATTAAGGTTTCCTACAGCTTGAACATGTTATGAGTCTATAAGCCTAATGTTTGTCTCTGAGCGGTCTGGGTGCATAGAGGTGGCCCAGAAAGAGGATGAGAGAGAGAACAGAGCAGTGGCTGGGGAGCCCACACGGTCGGCAGGGGAGCAGCCACGCAGGAAAGGTGATGCAGGGGCTGCTGACCTGTCTTTGGTCGGGCATGGGCTTGATGTGGATGTTCTAAGCCCCGGGCAGGTTTGTGCTGATCCAAGCAGCACCCCCCTGGCTAGCTCCATCCTGTTCCACTGCTCCCTTTGCAGGTGTTGGGTCTGTCTTGCTGGGAAATGGCCTCTGTGCAGATACGAAGGGAGCAGCGGGCCTCTGCCGGCTCAGATGAGGCCCCCGGGTCAGCCCCGGTGGGAGGACAGGGCCCAGGGACTCCAGAGCTGGTGTCTGGAAGGAGGATGGACACGGATGTTCCCAGAGCCGAACACACAGTGCAAACACCTCTCTCTGCCCACGGACAGCACTCAGCAGCCCCATGGCTGGTCCATAGTCCCCTGCCACCGCGGCCCCTGCCTTTGACAGAGGACCCTCTTTACCATAACCATGGGCAGACAGACCTCAGAGCCTAGCACTCTGCCGGGGAGGGCGTAAGAGGCTGGGCCGGGCAAGCAAGGGTGGGGGAAGCAGTGAGGCAGGGAGCTCATTTTGTGGGTGTTTGGGGAAGCCCTGCAGAGCTGAGCTGATTTGGGGGTGCACGAGGGGGGCTCAGGCAGCCCGGGAGAGGCAGGGCTAGGGGCACTCACAGAGGTGTTCTGGCACTGCACGCTGGAGCTGTTGAAGCGTAGGGCGGGCACCCTCTGCTCGCTGCCTTGGATGTTGAGGATGCATTCATACCCGCGCTGCCCAGACTGTGGCTGGGGAAGGTTCTTGGCCTTGAGAGTGATTGGCCTGATCACCTCCACGGGCACCAGGATCTTGTCCACTCGCAGCAGCTGGGGGCAGTCCTGGAACAGACAGCACAGCTCAGGCTGGGGAGCGGGAAGCCAAAGGTGCAGGGGTCTCTCCGGACACAGCCCCGATGTTTGCCCTGTTCCACCCTCCCTCGGACACACCCACAGAAGGTTCAAGGCACCGGGGCCCATCCTCAGCCTCTGTGTGGGAGGGAATGGTCCGAGAAATCCCAGACTCTACAGTCACCTCCTGGAGGCCACTTCTCACTGAGGTTGTCTCCTGCCCTCTTCAGTTTTCAATTTAATGCCCTCCAGACTCTGACACTCCTGGTTGCCTCTTCCCAGCACCCCTCCGACCCTAGCGGAGACACACTCAGCTGCTGGGTGTCCCGGGTCGCACTTCGGGCTTCAGTCCTAGGCTGCCAAGAGTTGGGACAGAGAGACCCTCCACAAGTGAGCTGTGGGCCCCAGCTCTGGAATGTGAGTCTGGCCCCCAGCAGGGGGGGGGGGGGGGCCCCAGGAGGGTCTTCCATACGTGGCTGAGTCTGGCAATTGGGAATGTTCTGGAATGAGGCCCAGAGGCCTTTTAAGATCCAGAAGCTTCTGACTGCCCTCTGAGGTTGGCCTGACCCCAAGGAAATGCCCCTCAGAGAAGATACACAGGGAGAACCCCTGGGATGCTAGCAATGAACACACTCATTCCTCAGGCTGAGTGGGTTTCCGTTGGGCCTTGGGGGGAGGGAGGAAATGACTGGGCCCTTTTCCCTGAGGCAATCAGCTCTGTCCAGGAAGGGCTGGGAGGCGGGGAATGGGTCAAATACGGAGTGTGGGTGTTCTGTCCTCTTTGCAGAGGTGGGGGCTGGCGTGTGGCTGGATTCTGAGGAGCCGAGTAGAAGACAGTCAGTATGCCAGGCCTGATCGGCATGGGCAGGAGTGAGGACACAAGCAGGGCCTGGGTCCCCCAGACAGACCATCCCCCAGACTACTGCTGTGGCACTGTTCGGGGCATGCTGAGACGGATGGCTTACAAGCACGGTATACACATCCTTCCTGAGAATGCTGCCCTCAGCAGAGGCTGCTGGCTCCTGACCCCAGCACTCCTCCTCAGCAGACTGAGGCAGAAAGGAGGTTGAGGCAGAACAGCAGACTGGAGGGGTTGCAGGCAATCGGGCAACTGGCAGCTGTCCCTCCTGGGTCTGAAGGCAAACATGAACCCCTTCTGTCACTGAAAGCTAGGAGGGAGAAGACCCACACTCTAGTGCCTCCTGAGCTTCTGGACAGCTATGGAACCCTGAATACATCACATCCCCACTTGGAGACTCAACTTCCTTATCTCTCGATCCGATGGGCTCCAACCACCCATTCAGCTCTTACCAGTCCTGATTCCATGATTCGGGGTGGTCTCACCTCTGTCCTTCTTGATTACCATGGAGCCTGACCAGAGAGGAGCAAGTGTCCCAGGCCCATGAAACTAACCCCCTCTCTCCTTCAGGCTGCCCATACCTTTATTTTAAAAGGCAGGTAGGAGAGGAGCAGCAGATCAGGCAAGCCCACTTCTGGATATATACCCAAAAGAGTTGAGAGCAGAGACTAGAACAGATGCTTGCTCACTCATGTTTGTAGTAACATTATTCACAACAGCCAAAAGGTGGAAGTAGCTCAAGTGTCCATGAGTGGATGAATGGATAAACAACATGTGATATATACTTACAATGGAATAGGATTCCATCTTAAAAGGAAGAAAAAATTTTATTATTATTATTATTATTATTATTATTATTTGGGAGAGAGAGAGAGAGAGAGAGAGCACTTGCTAGGAGGGGAAGGGGCAGAGGGAGAAAGAAAATCTTAAGCAGGTTCCACAATCAGCGTGGAGCCTGACACAGGGCTCGATCCCATGACCCTGGGATCATGACCTGAGTCGAAATCAAGAGTCAGATGCTGACCGAACTGAGCCACCCAGGCCCCCCCAAAAGGAAGCAAATTTTAACACACAACAGGTGTGAATCTTGAAAATGTTATACTAAGTGAAATAAACCAGTCACAATAGGACAGATATCACATGATTCCACTCATATGAAGCACCTAGAATAATCAAATTCATAGAGACAGAATGGTGCTTTCTGGGGGAGGGGAAATGGGGAGTTAGTGTTTCAGGGGGACAGAGTTTCGTTCGGTTGGGGAAGGTGAAAATGTTCCAGAGACGGGTGGTGGGGATGGTTGCACAACAGTGTGAATGTACTTAATGCCACAGATCTGCACTTAAAACTGGCTAAGATGGTAAGTTTTATGTGTGTATTTTTCCATGATTAAAAATCAGTGAAAACACAGAGGAGCAGCAGGAGGCAGGCCAGCAGGAGGGGAGAAGGAGTGGAGCAGTGAACCTGGCATGTGGTCCTAAGGCTCTAAAGTGCACGGTGTCCAGGGACCTGGAGGTCCCACATGGAGAGAGTCTTAGAAGCTCCATTCTGTGTCCCCCACCCCAGCAAGATGAGAACACAGGACACATAGAAGACAGGAATGATATAGTGACTAGGATGAAGCTCAGGACTGGGGCAGGAGGTGTGTGATGGCGGAGGATCAAGAGAGAAGATCCACGAAAAGCAGGGAGTTTCTAGCCAGAGGGTCCTGACTCCGCTCTTCCCTTTACCTGAGGCCCTGGGCAGCTCTCCTCTCCCTAAAGCAAGCACAAGCCTGACCTTCCCTCCTGCTGCATCCATGTCTGCATATGGTTGCATCTGGAGTAAGAGAAGTCCTGGATCTCTCACTTCCATCTCCTACAGCAAAATGTTGCTGCCCTTGAACGATGTTCAGAAAGTGTCTCGAATCTGAGAGTCCTCTGGACCAACCTAATGGATCCCTTCTACTTTGCAAAGGGGAAATCAAGGCAGGGAGAGGAAAAATAATGGCTCAGTATCAGCAGACCTGCTGGCAGCTGCAGTTGAATGTCAACCCACTATCTTTCCTACCCTTAATGAAAGAGGCAAGTTCCTACTGGTGGGCCGGGACCCCCTCAGGATGGGGTGGCGGGTCCGGAAGGACCTCCCCGAGCATAGCAGGACAGGGGAGCTGCAACACCCTCCTGTGGGGGCTGGGACTTGGCCTCCGGCTGGGCTGCTTCTAGTGGGTGTGATAGGATGTGGGTAGAAGCATAAGCCTCTCTTCCTCTGGAAGATTCTCTCTGAGGCTTGGCACACGTTCTTTAATGAGTCCTGATTGCCAGTGGCCCCATAAAGGCCTAGTTTGCATATAAAAAGGTTGGCAGGTCTGAGAGTAAGTTCATTAATAATAATTGGAGAGGCCCAGGGCTGGGCTGGGCCCATCTTCCTCTGGTGGTACTGCCGATTGACCCTGGTGTCCCTCCTAATTGAGATGTAAAATGGCAATTTTTCCCTAGGCAGCAAGGCATGAAGGGACCATTGCCACCACACTGCCCCTTCCTCCCATCCCAGCTCCTCAGATCCTGACCTGCCTCACGTGAGATCTCAGGTACAAAACCACCTCTTGCTCGTGGGAAGGTGCAGGGAAACCTCCCTGTTTCTCTGACCGTGTCTCCAGACCTGACTTCCCAGCACCTCCACGGCAGCCTGGGGCTCAGACAATCGCCTCTGGGAGTCCTTAACCGGAAGAACCTGGCTGGGGAGCCACTGATCTCTGAATGCAAGGCTATCTTCTTCCTGCTAGTTTCAGAATCTTGCAAGGGCTCTAGTCATTGCTTGGTTTAACTGAAAGTGGGGATTAAAAGCTCCTCCTCCAAAGGGTTTTTGGTGGGGAGGTGTTCCATGAACTACCACATATAAAGTGCCTGACACAGAGACAGCAAACATTCCACAAATGTTTGTTCTTTCCTCATCTACTGCCTGACCAGCTCAGGTCGCACCTTGTCCCTCATCTACTCCCTTTTCCTACCTCACTTCCAAAGGATCCATCTCCCCTGCTACGACCTCTATGTGCTTTTCCATAAACACCCCATCAGCTCCCACTGTCCGGCTCTTCCCACCCCTTCTGGGCTTCAGAGCCTGGCAACTCCAACAGCTCTAAGTGCCCCAAACACAGGGGGACAGGTACAGAGGCCCCGGGTCCATCCACTGCTGCTCTCTAACAGCAGTTCCCTCTTCTGGAAGGTGACATCCTATAGCTGCATGTTCCATATGCTCCGTGATGGGACCTCTGCCAACCAATTACGTGGCCTTGGACAAGTCCCCCTCAAACCCTCTGGGTCTCCTCGGCCACAGAATAGAGAAGCTGGTTTGGATCCAATGAATTTTATGGTCCTAGTTCTATTATTAACCCAATAGATGAACTATGACATGTCATTTTATAGCCTTGCTGAAGCTCAGTTTTCCCATCTCTACACTGGGATAACAATGCCTGCTCAACCAGGTGGAAGTGTGGTATTCAAAGTATCGAACAGCTGAATGAACACTGGAGGGGCTGGAGGGGGAGCATTCTGGAAGTGGCCATTTACCTATCAGTAGGGAAGTATTTTAATATTTTAATAACTGGCGCATTGCAACCTGGTACAGTCATACAGGCAGTGTGGCTCTGGTAGACAGTGTGTGATGCTGTTATGATTCTAGTCAACACGGTACAAGGGATTCAAGGATTCAATCCAGTGCACATTTTGCCACCTCTATCACCTTCCACGCGCTTTCCTGTTTGCTATCTTGTTTCACAGCCAACACATACGATCACGGCCACATTCATGGTAAAAGAACCAAGGACACCAATGACCTCGTTCAGTTCCCACAATGACAAGGAACAAAATATTTTCACCAGATCATCTTACTGATTTTTGTCCCCAGATGATTATCTAGCCCCCATACAGAATTCCTCAAAAACATAATATTTTTCTCCTTCTTCTTCTTCTTCTTCTTCTTCTTCTTCTTCTTCTTCTTCTTCCTCTTCCTCTTCCTCTTCCTCTTCCTCTTCTTCTTCTTCTTTTTTCAAGGAAGAGATTTCTCTGCACTATAAATGGAAAGGGCAAGCTCTTGGAGGTGGAGAGCACCTGCATTTAACAAGATTATTTGGAGACAAATGCATACGTTCAAGAA